AGTGAATCTAATAGACTTATAGACTTCAGCTCCAACCAGAGAGGAGTTAGTGAATCTAATAGACTTATATACTTCAGCTCCAACCAGAGAGGAGTTAGTGAATCTAATAGACTTATAGACTTCAGCTCCAACCAGAGAGGAGTTAGTGAATCTAATAGACTTATATACTTCAGCTCCAACCAGACAGGAGTTAGTGAATCTAATAGACTTATAGACTTCAGTTCCGACCAGAGAGGAGTTAGTGACTCTAATAGACTTCAGCTCCAACCAGAGAGGAGTTAGTGAATCTAATAGACTTCAGCTCCAACAAGAGAGGAGTTAGTGAATCTAATAGACTTCAGCTCCAACCAGAGAGGAGTTAGTGAATCTAATAGACTTAAGCTCCAACAAGAGAGGAGTTAGTGAATCTAATAGACTTCAGCTCCAACCAGAGAGGAGTTAGTGACTCTAATAGACTTCAGCTCCAACAAGAGAGGAGTTAGTGACTCTAATAGACTTATAGACTTCAGCTCCAACAAGAGAGGAGTTAGTGAATCTAATATACTTATAGACTTTAGCTCCAACCAGAGAGGAGTTAGTGAATCTAATAGACTTATAGACTTCAGCTCCAACCAGAGAGGAGTTAGTGAATCTAATAGACTTATATACTTCAGCTCCAACCAGAGAGGAGTTAGTGAATCTAATAGACTTCAGCTCCAACAAGAGAGGAGTTAGTGACTCTAATAGACTTCAGCTCCAACCAGAGAGGAGTTAGTGACTCTAAAAGACTTCAGCTCCAACCAGAGAGGAGTTAGTAACTCTAATAGACTTCAGCTCCAACAAGAGAGGAGTTAGTGAATATAATAGACTTATAGACTTCAGCTCCGACCAGAGAGGAGTTAGTGACTCTAATAGACTTCAGCTCCAACCAGAAAGGAGTTAGTGAATCTAATAGACTTAAGCTCCAACAAGAGAGGAGTTAGTGAATCTAATAGACTTCAGCTCCAACCAGAGAGGAGTTAGTGACTCTAAAAGACTTCAGCTCCAACAAGAGAGGAGTTAGTGACTCTAATAGACTTCAGCTCCAACAAGAGATGAGTTAGTGACTCTAATAGACTTCAGCTCCAACAAGAGAGGAGTTAGTGACTCTAATAGACTTCAGCTCCAACCAGAGAGGAGTTAGTGACTCTAATAGACTTCAGCTCCAACAAGAGATGAGTTAGTGACTCTAATAGACTTCAGCTCCAACCAGAGAGGAGTTAGTGACTCTAAAAGACTTCAGCTCCAACCAGAGAGGAGTTAGTGACTCTAAAAGACTTCAGCTCCAACCAGAGAGGAGTTAGTGACTCTAAAAGACTTCAGCTCCAACAAGAGAGGAGTTAGTGACTCTAATAGACTTCAGCTCCAACAAGAGATGAGTTAGTGACTCTAATAGACTTCAGCTCCAACAAGAGAGGAGTTAGTGACTCTAATAGACTCCAGCTCCAACCAGAGAGGAGTAAGTGACTCTAATAGACTTCAGCTCCAACAAGAGAGGAGTTAGTGACTCTAATAGACTTCAGCTCCAACCAGAGAGGAGTTAGTGACTCTAATAGACTTCAGCTCCAACCAGAGAGGAGTTAGTGACTCTAATAGACTACAGCTCCAACAAGAGAGGAGTAAGTGACTCTAATAGACTTATAGACTTCAGCTCCAACCAGAGAGGAGTTAGTGACTCTAAAAGACTTCAGCTCCAACAAGAGAGGAGTTAGTGACTCTAATAGACTTCAGCTCCAACCAGAGAGGAGTTAGTGACTCTAATAGACTTATAGACTTCAGCTCCAACCAGAGAGGAGTTAGTGACTCTAATAAACTTCAGCTCCAACAAGAGAGGAGTTAGTGACTCTAATAGACTTCAGCTCCAACCAGAGAGGAGTTAGTGACTCTAATAGACTTCAGCTCCAACAAGAGAGGAGTTAATTAATCTAATAGACTTCAGGTCCAACCAGAGAGGAGTTAGTGACTCTAATAGACTTCAACTTCAACCAGAGAGGAGTTAGTGACTCTAATAGACTTCAGCTCCAACCAGAGAAGAGTTAGTAACTCTAATAGACTTCAGCTCCAACCAGAGAGGAGATAGTGACTCTAATAGACTTCAGCTCCAACCAGAGAGGAGTTAGTGACTCTAAAAGACTTAAGCTCCAACCAGAGAGGAGTTAGTGACTCTAAAATACTTATAGACTTCAGCTCCAACCAGAGAGGAGTTAGTGACTCTAATAGACTTGTAGACTTCAGCTCCAACCAGAGAGGAGTTAGTGACTCTAATAGACTTCAGCTCCAACCAGAGAGGAGTTAGTGACTCTAATAGACTTGTAGACTTCAGCTCCAACAAGAGAGGAGTTAGTGACTCTAATAGACTTCAGCTCCAACAAGAGAGGAGTTAGTGAATCTAATAGACTTCAGCTCCAACCAGAGAGGAGTTAGTGACCTTAATAGACTTCAGCTTCAACCAGAGAGGAGTTAGTGACTCTAAAGCCCCTTTCACACAGAGATTCCGGAAAATACACGGATAAAGCGACCCGGGATTTGACCCGGGTTCGTTTGATTTTGCTTCATTCACACTGCCAGTGATTTGCCGGAATCAGAGAGCGCGTTCACACACAACCAGTGTATGTTCCGGAAAGACACGTGACATCGATGTGACATGTAATGTCTCAGCAACGTGTATAGTTTGCTTATGAGCTGCGATTTCTCTCTGGGGAAACCACGATTGTGCATTTTTTTCTCTGATTCGATCATAAACTAGCGCATTACGTACCGTTTCACTAGCCTGCTTTCACTTCACTTCAGCGTCATCATTACGACACGACATTGGTTACGGCTTTTGTTCACACAGCGCCCGTTCCGGGTCTGAACACGGCAATGTTACTAGGTCCCCAACCCGGCATCGATCCCGGCATCAGTCCCGGGTCGTGTTTGCGTTCACACAGAAGGCACTCTGGCAATTTGCCGGCAATTTGCCGGGTTCAAAGCGCTGTGTGAAAGGGGCTTAATAGACTTCAGCTCCAACCAGAGAGGAGTTAGTGACTCTAATAGACCTCAGGTCAACCAGAGAGGAGTTAGTGACTCTAATAGACTTCAGCTCCAACCAGAGAGGAGTTAGTGACTCTAATAGACTTCAGCTCCAACAAGAGAGGAGTTAGTGAATATAATAGACTTATAGACTTCAGCTCCGACCAGAGAGGAGTTAGTGACTCTAATAGACTTCAGCTCCAACCAGAAAGGAGTTAGTGAATCTAATAGACTTCAGCTCCAACCAGAGAGGAGTTAGTGACTCTAAAAGTCTTCAGCTCCAACAAGAGAGGAGTTAGTGACTCTAATAGACTTCAGCTCCAACAAGAGATGAGTTAGTGACTCTAATAGACTTCAGCTCCAACAAGAGAGGAGTTAGTGACTCTAATAGACTTCAGCTCCAACCAGAAAGGAGTTAGTGAATCTAATAGACTTAAGCTCCAACCAGAGAGGAGTTAGTGAATCTAATAGACTTCAGCTCCAACAAGAGAGGAGTTAGTGAATCTAATAGACTTCAGCTCCAACCAGAGAGGAGTTAGTGACTCTAATAGACTTCAGCTCCAACAAGAGAGGAGTTAGTGACTCTAATAGACTTCAGCTCCAACAAGAGATGAGTTAGTGACTCTAATAGACTTATAGACTTCAGCTCCAACAAGAGATGAGTTAGTGACTCTAATAGACTTCAGCTCCAACAAGAGAGGAGTTAGTGACTCTAATAGACTTCAGCTCCAACCAGAAAGGAGTTAGTGAATCTAATAGACTTAAGCTCCAACCAGAGAGGAGTTAGTGAATCTAATAGACTTCAGCTCCAACAAGAGAGGAGTTAGTGAATCTAATAGACTTCAGCTCCAACCAGAGAGGAGTTAGTGACTCTAAAAGACTTCAGCTCCAACAAGAGAGGAGTTAGTGACTCTAATAGACTTCAGCTCCAACAAGAGATGAGTTAGTGACTCTAATAGACTTATAGACTTCAGCTCCAACAAGAGATGAGTTAGTGACTCTAATAGACTTCAGCTCCAACAAGAGAGGAGTTAGTGACTCTAATAGACTTCAGCTCCAACCAGAGAGGAGTCAGTGACTCTAATAGACTTATAGACTTCAGCTCCAACAAGAGATGAGTTAGTGACTCTAATAGACTTCAGCTCCAACAAGAGAGGAGTTAGTGACTCTAATAGACTTCAGCTCCAACCAGAGAGGAGTCAGTGACTCTAATAGACTTCAGCTCCAACAAGAGATGAGTTAGTGACTCTAATAGACTCTAGACCTCACTCAGACCTCAGATGAAAGACTGGCTTCAACACACTTGCCTGTAATCTTAAAGTTACCCTGAACACCTTGCTTCACTGCTTCAGGTGATCTGGTTTGGAGAGTCCTGCACTACAGTGATCGTTAAACAATCAACCCATCTTTACTTCTATAGCGCTTTTTACAACAGATTGTTTCAAAGAAGCTTTTGCAAAGCTTTTCCAGTTCCTTCTGCAATATAACGCTTCTCTTGTACATCGAGTTGTGTGCATTCTGCTGTGACATCACAATCCTGTTGCATTTTGGGTATTAAGTTGCCTGAAGCCGAGGGTCTGTCCATCTAAACTTCTCTTGTCCACTTGCCGGAATGGAACGGTGTTTCCTCCGACGGGAAGTGCTTAGGGAAGACAGCTAGTGTTCGTTTAGGAGGAAGTGGGACACAGTCCATCACAGTCTTGCATTTACAGTGAATTCAGTGAAACCAGAATCATTTCACATCAACCCTGCTTTTCATCCATGTTAATCTTCAGGTTATTGGATTGTGAAGTAATGCTTCCGTTGCAGATTTTTGTCCACAAACTTCAGCCTGTTTTCACTTTAAGCGGCTGAAAATTCAGTGCATCCCTACAGCGCTATTAAAGTGCATGAACACACACACCTCGTTGTTTTGTTTCTGTTAATAATTGTTGCATATTCTAACTTATTTCCTCTGTGTTTCCGTTCAGGGTCGACATGTCAAAACTGGACAGCTGGCGGCCATCAAAGTCATGGACGTGACTGAAGTAAGTGCACTGACTTCACTTCAATGTGCTCAAGTTCAGAATTTACAACAATAATGCGAAAAATACCAAGACAGACACTGAATTTAGACCAAAAGTATTTCTACAGATTATATATAAATACTTAATAACATATTTAAAACATATTTTGTCTAGTTTTAAGCTAGTGAAAACACTTTCTTGATGTGTTGTCATGATTTAGGGAGGTTTGTCATGTATTTAAGACACATTTCTGCCTGCGTGTGGATTTACTTCAGTTTGAACACAATATATTAGACCACAAGAAAGAAATCAGCCTGGTTTGATATGCAAAGTTGAAGTTTATTTACTTTTCTGCTTAGCAATATTACGATTGAATTAACGCATTAAGTACATCAGAAAGTAAAACTACCCATAAATCTATAAAAACAGATATACTAGTGTTACTAGTGTTATTTGCCAAGTGTCAAATATAAACTTTTTACTCCTGGATTAAATGTTGTCAAAAGTTCAGAGGGATTTGGTCTGTAATATCTACAGTGTTAAAAACAGACTAGATCATTATATGAACAAATCATTCAATTACCCCATTCCTAGCCATTTCTAGCATACATTTGATTCATATTATTCATTATTCATGTAGATTTATTCATAATTCATAAGAGCAGAGATTTGTGCTCGTGATGTTTGTCAGTATAACAGTTGCGTATGCTGACATCTGTAAGGCTCAGGTCTCTCGTTCATCACGACACACACACACACACACACACGTCAGCTTTCTGTCCTCATTTAATCGCCCAAACCACCGTGACTGACTGCCTTCAGAAAATAGTTTGAGAAATGTCTCATGATCTGTTTTCTTTTGTTGTTGTTTTTTTTTGCTCAGTTATGCTTATTTATTATAGAGAAAATCTGTCCGTATTATTTTCATTATAGAAGGTAAGGATTGGATTAAAAATTAAAAAAACCTTGCGGAACCCTTCATAGCTTTCGATATTAGCGAAGCGTGTGGAATGATTGGGGTTTATTGCTTGTCGCGTTGATTTACACCAACCAAGTTTGATCGTTTGTCATTTAAAATCCATATAGACACTGACCTCAAATACTACACAACTGTATTCATGACACTTCCCATGTGTGTGTTCAGGATGAAGAAGAGGAGATTAAGCTGGAGATTAACATGCTGAAGAAATACTCTCATCACAGAAACATTGCCACGTATTACGGCGCGTTCATTAAGAAGAGTCCTCCAGGACACGACGACCAGCTGTGGGTTAGTGACGCTCTCTCACTCTCACACACACGACATACTCGAGAGAAACGCTGCATACACAGACACACACACGACATACTCGAGAGAAACACTGCTTACACACACACACACACGACATACTCTAGAGAAACGCTGCATACACACACACACACACAGGCTGAATTTATTCTATTTTTCGCCAACAAAAAAGATGTCAAGTGCAACCATGTAAATCTGACTAAACATGGAGGAAAACACATTCTGCCTCCAGCCCAGACATAAATGCAAGAAATACATGACATTTCAGCCTGTAGACTGATGACAACAGCATGTGACGACAGATAGAGAGGAGTTTTCCTTAAAGTCTTCAACCAGTTTAAAGCGCTTTATTCCTCTACTGTAATCCAAGGAAGATAAAAAAGTGTCAAAAAAGGCTCTGTATTGCAAACTGCATTTTTAGAAAAGAAGAAATCCTGGAGGAATGATTATGGTTTAATTAACCCTCTGGTGCTGTTTGGTCAATTTCAGGCAAAAAATCTTTTTTTGTTGTTGAATTTTTTACTTCATTAGAATGGTACGAGACTTGTTAAAGGTTTTGGCACTTGCTGTGTGAACGCAAAAAAATAATTCATGGACATGATTTGAAAATGTTAAATGTTCTTGAAAAAAATAGTTGTATTGTTCACAATAAAAAATGAATGCATTGGTAGTCATTTTTCACCTAGTGGAAGCGTTTGGTAGTGTGCACAAACAAATGACTGAAAGCTCAAAGATGAAAGATATAAAATAATCAATCGATCAAGGTTCAGAATTACAGGTGAGAATGAACTCACAACGAACAGAAGTTCAGATGAGAATCAACACAGAATAAACAAAAAACATACAAGAGGAAGAAAGATTAGTGCATACTTGCTCACATATTGTTCACATACAAATAATCACTATGTAAAAACATAGGACACAATTTTATAAGGTTGTACCACACAGGAATCAGACCCACAATCTCTGGGCCAGGTGCCTGTCACTCATCTTGTTCTCACCTATGGGAAGACGTGTGTTCACACAAATGGCGAAGTTCCATAGTTCAAGTGAGAATCAACTCAAAATGAAGATTTTGTACATAAATACACTGAATTTAGTATTCAGATGAGATCATTCTTAGAAAGGCACAATGTCTGAAACGGAAGCAACATCTCGCACCATTTCTGGCCACAGTACCTCTTGCGGTCTGGCCATGTGCCATACTGGATTCAAACCCACAACCTTAAAGCTTCGGAGCCTGTGGCTCAGCAGAGTGTGCCACTCAGTTGCATAGACAGTATAAGAAGTGGACAGAGCATCTCATTGGAACTCAGTTGAGGCAGTTGAAGCCCATTTTTAGCGATTTTTGAGCACTTCCGTTCCTGACGCGCAGACTCAAACCGACTCAAACTAAGCTTGATGACGTGAGCAACCTGTCTGACAGACGTTAATCTTCTAGTAGCTGTGCGTGAAAATTGCCAATGTTAATCTTGCAGAGACGGGGAACTTGAGCAAAGAGTTCTTTGGCGTGAGTGAGCAGGAGTAAGTATTCCGTTGCTTTTATGGACTCATTATCTATGGGCTTCTTGCTTGACGGGACGTTCCCCCGATCGCCTGCGAGCTTCTCCTCCTGTCTGTACGGTCATTTCTGTACAGCGCGACAGAGAGTCGAGTGGTTATGACGCAATCGTTAGCCTATTTTTACAAAATCTGTTTCTACGGGGCCATAATGTAACATAGAAGGTAATGGAGCCCTTTATACATTGTCGTGTTTCTTTAGAAATAAATAATGGACAAATGGAGTCTTTAAACGCCTCAGATGTAAAGTTATTCGCTGTCAAAGTGACGCCAAAATGAATGGGAGTCAATGGAAATGCTAACGCAAGTGAAGTTCTGCTACAAGATGGCGGCACCCGGCCGGCTTCAACTTCCGGTCGATGGATTACCCCCTTGCTCAGTTGACACTGATTCAGATCTCATGACCTGTAGGTGGCACTGTTCTTAAATTTGGCATGTACCCTCAAGTCATGGTTTCAATAAAGCCTACCAATTTTCACTTCATTGATCAAAGTTTGGCCGAGATATAGCCTCTGAACCAATTTCGGGTCGACCTCGTTAAGTTCACAACATCATAACTTTTGAACAAAGATGAATAAAAAAATTATGTTTAGTATTTTCTGTGTGGCTTGGTCTAAAGATCCCCTGAGACAATTTTCATAAGAATTGGACAAAATTTGAAGGAGTAGTGAAAACTGAATACTGTACTTTTAAAAATGGCCACTACTGTAATGGGCGGAGTCTTAAAGTAAGATGTTGAATGTGATCAGCATAAAGAGAGTAATCAGGTGTACTAAATTTCATTTTTCTAGATCAAATTGTTCAAAAGTTATAACCGTTTCAAATGTGAATTTTTGAACTGGTGGTGGCGCTATAGAGTTGGTCATAGGGACCCCAAAGTTGGTCAGAATTCTGTTCATTACCATCACTACAAGTGTGCCAATTTTCATAATTTTCTCATGTTCCGTTCATAGGGCTGCCATAGACTCCCATTCGGGAAGAATAATAAAAGTAACAATTCCAATAGGGGCTACAGCACCTTCAGGGCTTGGCCCCTAAAAACATTATCGAACTAAAATATTACAATCATTTCATTTAAATAAAGCATTTCGGTCATTTTTGACCTACATGCGTACAGTACCAGAGGGTTAAATCTGTCATTATTTGGAAATCAATTTTATGGCGCTTTTCCACTGCATGGTACGGCACGGTACGGTTCGGTACGGCACGCTTTGGCGCTTTTCCACTGCATGGTACGGTACGGCACGGTTCGGTACGGCACGCTTTGGCGCTTTTCCACTGCATGGTACGGCACGGTACGGCTCGCTTCGGCTCACTTTAAATGGTACCACCTCTGTCGAGGTTCCAAGCGTACCGTACCGATACTAAAATGTGATGTGAAAACACTGCAGATCACTGATTGGTCAGACAGAATCATCACCACCAGCGTCATTGTATGCGAGACATCAAACCCGCTAGATTCAAATAGCTAGTAACAGCCACCGTTGTAGCACCTGTTTTAAAACTACTTGCTTGACTTGCTTGAAGAAAAATGAAAGAAAAAAAAGTTCCAAAAAAGAAATGGCTGAATCGTGGTCAGTGGACGAAGTGCAGATCGCAGACGTTCCTCTCGTTGGTTGCTGAGGAGCGGATAAATGATCAGTCTATAATCGCACCCACTTTAAAGCGGTACTAACTACAGTGGAAAAGCAAACCGAGCTAAAGCGAGCCGTGCTGTGCTGAGCCGAGTCGTACCACGCAGTGGAAAAGCGAAGCGAGCCGAACTGTACTGAGCCGTACCATGCAGTGGAAAAGCGCCATTAGTTTATCCAGTAAAATGCCAGTTGGATCTTAATGGATTCTTAGTGGATTCTTACTTGATTCCTATGGGTTCAGTTATAATTAAAATCTCCTTCAAGATATATTTTATCATAAATAAAGTCTTAAAACGCAGATGACTGCTTCACATGTTAACATTAAATGCCAAATTCATCTTTGATTAAGTTAAACCTAGAGACTTCATTCCCATTCCCTTTGCTGATGACAGAAGAACCTGACAGTTTCCAGAAATCACACTCACTGCACAGATCCAGATCCATACTCTGAGGCCACGTGTATATGTTCTCGAGAGGTCTGGAAAAAGTACATGTACAGTCTGCTTTATTACTCTAGGGGTACAAATAAAAGCCAAAAGTAGGTTTCTTTATTTGCTGCTGTTTTCTGAGATTTTATATTTAGATTTATTAGATTTTAAATGATGTATGTGCAGTAAATCTGTCTGTTGTTTGTGTAGCTAGTGATGGAGTTTTGTGGAGCCGGCTCGATAACAGACCTTGTGAAAAACACGAAAGGAAACACACTGAAAGAAGACTGGATCGCGTACATCTCGAGAGAAATTCTCAGGGTATGAAGCGCAAGTTGACACTAACATGACAGTGGATGTGTGTGTTTGGAGCCGCTGATTGAGTTACCTCTCCTCTCCTCTCCTCTCCTCTCCTCTCCTCTCCTCTCCTCTCCTCTCCTCTCCTCCCCTCGCCTCCCCTCCCCTCGCCTCCCCTCCTCCCCTCGCCTCTCCTCGCCTCCCCTCCTCCCCTCGCCTCTCCTGTCTCATCCTCTTCTCTCCTCTCCTATTTCTCTCTTTTCCTCTCCTATCCCTCTCTTCTCCTCGTCACTCATTCCCTCCTCTCCTCTCTTCTCCTCTCCTATCCCTATCTCTCTCCCCTCCTCTTCTCTCCTATCCCTCTCCTCCTCTCCTCTTCTATCCCTCTCCTCTTCTCTCCTATCCCCTCCTCTCCTCTTCTCTCCTATCCCCTCCTCTCCTCTTCTCTCCTATCCCCTCCTCTCCTCTTCTCTCCTATCCCTCTCCTCTTCTCTTCTCTCCTATCCCTCTCCTCTTCTCTCCTATCCCTCTCCTCTTCTCTCCTATCCCTATCCCTCTCCTCTCCCCTCCTATCCCTCTCCCCTCCCCTCCTCTCCTCTTCTCTCCTATTCCTATCCCTCTCCTCTCCCCTCCTATCCCTCTCCCCTCCCCTCCTCTCCTCTTCTCTCCTATCCCTCTCCTCTTCTATTCTCTCCTATCCCTCTCCTCTTCTCTACTATCCCTATCCCTCTCCTCTTCTCTCCTATCCCTCTCCTCCCCTCCTCTTCTCTCCTATCCCTATCCCTCTCCTCTTCTCTCCTCTTCTCTCCTATCCCTATCCCTCTCCTCTCCTATCCCTCTCCCCTCCTCTCCTCTTCTCTCCTACCCCTATCCCTCTCCTCTCCTATCCCTCTCCCCTCCCCTCCTCTTCTCTCCTATCCCTCTCCTCTCCTATCCCTCTCCTCTCCTCTCCTATACCTCTCCCCTCCTCATCTCTCCTATCCCTCCCCTCCTCTCCTCTCCTATCCCTCCCCTCCTCTCCTCTCCTATACCTCTCCCCTCCTCTTCTCTCCTATCCCTCTCCTCCTCTCCTCCTCTCCTCTCCTCTCCCCACCTATACCCCTCTCCCCTCCTCTCCTCTTCTCTCCTATCCCTCTTCTCTCCTATCCCTATCCCTCTCCTATCCTATCCCTCTCCTCTCCTATCCCTCTCCTCTCCTCTCCTATACCTCTCCCCTCCTCTTCTCTCCTATCCCTCTCCCCTCCTCTCCTCTCCTCTTCGCTCCTATCCCTCTCCTCTCCCCTCCTCTTCTCTCCTACCCCTGTCTCTCTCCTCTCCTCTCCTCTCCTATCCCTCTCCTCTCCTCTCCTATACCTCTCCCCTCCTCTTCTCTTCTCTCCTATCCCTATCCCTCTCCTCCTCTCCTCTCCTCTCCTCTCCTCTCCTCTCCCCTCTTATCCCTCTCCCCTCCTCTTCTCTCCTATCCCTATCCCTCTCCTCCTCTCCTCTCCTCTTCGCTCCTATCCCTCTCACCTCCTCTCCTCTCCCCTCCTATACCTCTCCCCTCCTCTTCTCTCCTATCCCTCTCCCCTCCTCTTCTCTCCTATCCCTCTCCCCTCCTCTCCTCTCCTCTTCGCTCCTCTTCTCTCCTATCCCTATCTCTCTCCTCTCCTCTCCTATCCCTCTCCTCTCCTCTCCTATACCTCTCCCCTCCTCTCCTATCCCTCTCCTCTCCTCTCCTCTCCTATACCTCTCCCCTCCTCTTCTCTTCTCTCCTATCCCTATCCCTCTCCTCCTCTCCTCTCCTCTCCTCTCCCCTCCTATCCCTCTCCCCTCCTCTTCTCTCCTATCCCTATCCCTCTCCTCCTCTCCTCTTCGCTCCTATCCCTCTCACCTCCTCTCCCCTCCTCTCCCCTCCTCTTCTCTCCTATCCCTCTCACCTCCTCTCCTATCCCTCTCCTTCTCTTCTCTTCTCTCCTATCCCTCTCCTCTCCTATCCCTCTCCCCTCCTCTTCTCTTCTCTCCTATCCCTCTCACCTCCTCTCCTCTTCTATACCTCTCCCCTCCTCTTCTCTCCTATCCCTATCCCTCTCCTCCTCTCCTCTCCCCTCCTATCCCTCTCCCCTCCTCTTCTCTCCTATCCCTATCCCTTCCTCTTCTCTCCTATCCCTATCCCTCTCCTCCTCTCCTCTCCTCTCCTCTTCGCTCCTATCCCTCTCCCCTTCTCTTCTCTCCTATCCCTATCCCTTCCTCTTCTCTCCTATCCCTATCCCTCTCCTCCTCTCCTCTCCTCTCCTCTTCGCTCCTATCCCTCTCACCTCCTCTCCTCTCCTCTCCCTTCCTCTTCTCTCCTATCCCTATCTCTCTCCTCTCCTCTCCCCCTATCCCTCTCCCCTCCTCTTCTCTCCTATCCCTCTCCTCCTCTCCTCTCCTCTTCTCTCCTATCCCTCTCACCTCCTCTCCTCTCCTATCCCTCTCCTCCTCTCCTCTCCTCTCCTCTACTCTCCTCTCCTCTCCTCTACTATACCTGTCCCCTCCTCTTCCCTCCTATCCCTCTCCTCCTCTCCTCTCCTCTCCTCTCATATCCCTCTCCTCTCCTATTCTATTCCTCTCCACTCCTCTCCTCTCCCCTCCTATTCTATTCCTCTCCCCTCCCCCCCTCCTCTCCCCTCCTCTCCTCTCCTCTCCTATCCCTCTCCTCTCTTATTCTGTTCCTCTCCCCTCCTCTCCTCTCCTCTCCCATCGCGCTCCCCTCCCCTCCTCTCCTCTCCTCTCCCCTCCCCTCCTCTCCTCTCCTCTCCTCTCCTCTCCTATCCTCTCCTCTCCTATCCCTCTCCTCTACTATCCCTTTCCTCCTCTCCTCTCCTCTCCTCTACTATACCTCTTCCCTCCTATCCCTCTCCTCCTCTCCTCTACTATACCTCTCCCCTCCTCTTCCCTCCTATCCCTCTCCTCTCCTCTACTATCCCTCTCCTCTCCTCTACTATACCTCTCCCCTCCTCTTCCCTCCTATCCCTCTCCTTCTCTCCTCTCCTCTCCTATCATATCCCTCTCCTCCTCTCCTCTCCTATCCCTCTCCTCTCCTCTACTATACCTCTCCCCTCCTCTTCCCTCCTATCCCTCTCCTCCTCTCCTCTCATATCCCTCTCCTCTCCTATTCTATACCTCTCCCCTCCCCTCCTCTCCTCTCCTCTCCTCTCCTATCCCTCTCCTCTCCCCTCCCCTCCCCTCCTCTCCTCTCCCATCGCGCTCCTCTCCTCTCCTCTCCCATCGCGCTCCCCTCCTCTCCCCTCCTCTCCTCTCCTCTCCTCTCCCATTGCGCTCCCCTCCTCTCCTCTCCTCTCCTCTCCTCTCCTCTCCTCTCCTATCCCTCTCCTCTCCTATTCTGTTCCTCTCCCCTCCCCTCCCCTCCTCTCCTCTCCTCTCCTCTCCCATCGCGCTCCCCTCCTCTCCTCTCCTCTCCCATCGCGCTCCCCTCCTCTCCTCTCCTCTCCCATCGCGCTCCCCTCCTCTCCTCTCCTCTCCCATCGCGCTCCCCTCCTCTCCTCTCCTCTCCTCTCCTATCCCTCTCCTCTCCTATTCTGTTCCTCTCCCCTCCTATTCTGTTCCTCTCCCCTCCTCTCCCATCGCGCTCCCCTCCTCTCCTCTCCTCTCCTCTCCCATCGCGCTCCCCTCCTCTCCTCTCCTCTCCTCTCCTATCCCTCTCCTCTCCTATTCTGTTCCTCTCCCCTCCCCTCCTCTCCTATCCCTCTCCTCTCCTCTCCTCTCCCATCGCGCTCCTCTCCTCTCCTATTCTATTCCTCTCCCCTCCCCTCCTCTCCTCTCCTCTCCTATCCCTCTCCTCTCCTATTCTATTCCTCTCCCCTCCCCTCCTCTCCTCTCCTATTCTGTTCCTCTCCCCTCCCCTCCTCTCCTATCCCTCTCCTCTCCCATCGCGCTCCCCTCCTCTCCTCTCCTCTCCCATCGCGCTCCTCTCCTCTCCTATTCTATTCCTCTCCCCTCCCCTCCTCGCCTCTCCTCTCCTCTCCTATCCCTCTCCTCTCCTATTCTGTTCCTCTCCCCTCCCCTCCTCTCCTATCCCTCTCCTCTCCCATCGCGCTCCCCTCCTCTCCTCTCCTCTCCTATTCTGTTCCTCTCCCCTCCCCTCCTCTCCTATCCCTCTCCTCTCCCATCGCGCTCCCCTCCTCTCCTCTCCTCTCCCATCGCGCTCCTCTCCTCTCCTATTCTATTCCTCTCCCCTCCCCTCCTCGCCTCTCCTCTCCTCTCCTATCCCTCTCCTCTCCTATTCTGTTCCTCTCCCCTCCCCTCCTCTCCTATCCCTCTCCTCTCCCATCGCGCTCCTCTCCTCTCCCTCTCCTCTCCTCTCCTATTCTATTCCTCTCCCCTCCCCTCCTCTCCTCTTCTCCCATCACGCTCCTCTCCTCTCCTCTCCTCTCCTCTCCTCTCCTCTCCTCTCCTCTCCCCTCCCCTCCTCTCCCCTCCCCTCCTCTCCTATCCCTCTCCTCTCCTATTCTATTCCTCTCTCCTCCTCGCCTCTCCTCTCCTCTCCTATCCCTCTCCTCTCCTATTCTATTCCTCTCTCCTCCCCTCCTCTCCTCTCCTCTCCCATCGCGCTCCTCTCCTCTCCTATTCTATTCCTCTCCCCTCCCCTCCTCGCCTCTCCTCTCCTCTCCTATCCCTCTCCTCTCCTATTCTGTTCCTCTCCCCTCCCCTCCTCTCCTCTCCTATCCCTCTCCTCTCCCATCGCGCTCCCCTCCTCTCCTCTCCCCTCCCCTCCTCTCCTATCCCTCTCCTCTCCCATCGCGCTCCCCTCCTCTCCTCTCCTCTCCTCTCCCATCGCGCTCCTCTCCTCTCCTATTCTATTCCTCTCCCCTCCCCTCCTCGCCTCTCCTCTCCTCTCCTATCCCTCTCCTCTCCTATTCTGTTCCTCTCCCCTCCCCTCCTCTCCCCTCCCCTCCTCTCCTCTCCTATCCCTCTCCTCTCCCATCGCGCTCCCCTCCTCTCCTCTCCTCTCCTCTCCTCTCCTCTCCTCTCCTCTCCTATCCCTCTCCTCTCCTCTCCTATTCTATTCCTCTCCCCTCCCCTCCTCTCCTCTTCTCCCATCACGCTCCTCTCCTCTCCTCTCCTCTCCTCTCCTCTCCTCTCCTCTCCCCTCCCCTCCTCTCCTCTCCTCTCCTCCTCTCATTGCCTCTTCTCTTCTCTTCATCAGGGGTTGGCCCACCTGCACGCTCATCACGTCATCCACAGAGACATCAAGGGCCAGAATGTGCTGCTGACTGAGAACGCAGAGGTCAAACTAGGTCAGATCTCTACTGATTCTCTGCTTTCTCTACATTTATCTCGAATACAGTCACATCTCCAGTTCTCGCGGTTTGATGCATGCGGTAGACAAGCCTTTTATGGAAGAGTTTTCTCAGACTCATGAGAATATCCTTTCTTGAACAAAATCATCAAGAATAATCAAACGCTTGCTTGTTTTATTTGTTTTCTTTTTTCACTCGGGTAAATCTGACAACTCTTATCTAATCCAGTTAATCACACTGTTTTGCCACAGTTTACAGTGATAACGAGACTGGTATGAAATATTATAGCAGTTTAAAGAGGAGGAAACATTATGAATGAAACATACCTGACAACAGCAGTTCCTATAACATCAATATCCTGAGAGAATAGCCTTCATGTATAGTCCCCTAAAGGGCTTCTTACATGAACACGGCAAGCTTTTCTTGCCGCCTCTCATGTGTTTTTCATACAGGAGAAGCATGTTTCATGTGAACGTGGACGTGTAAGAGGTTGTTGTGGTAATGAATATTAATACCTGCTTTTGATGGAGAGTTAAAAAAATCCTAATTTTGAGGCTTTCATTAAATATTAAGAATGAAATGAAGCAGCAACATCAAGTATTATTTTTAAATGTTGTTTTAGATCACTCCTTGCACTCATTTAACACACGGTTGATCATGGTTAAAATGATGTGTAAATTAATCGGTTAATATCCTTTCATTTTTTTCAGTTTCATTTTGTTTGAAATATTATATAATTTATAAAATAAAATATATTTAAATATTTTAAATATATAAATGCCTCATTTCATTTTATTAAAGTTTAGAATCATCCTTTATTGTGAAAATCACCCACAGCACCACCTAGTGTCCAACCAGCGCTAATACAGTATAACCGGCTGAATGCACATACTGTATTGAAAATGATGCAAAATATTAAATAATTCACTTTTGCTTTCCAGGCCAGTGTTTACCTTCTGGATTTGATTATCTTACACATTCTGGAGGGCAGAAGCAGCTCCTAACAGTACATTGAGGTTATAATGTATTGTACATAATGTACATAATTAATGTACAACTATGATTAAATGCTTGCGTTTTACCTTTCAATGTAATCAGACACATTTTAACACGGATGTAATTCAGCATGAGAGTGATTGACAAACGGTTGATTTCTCTTCTTCTTTTGCTGATGTTTTATGGCGTAGCGGATTGATTGGTCCTGAAGGTTTATGTAAAGCAGCGTAAAAACAAGCAGGTTAAAGATAAAACGGTGCCAATCTCTGTGTCAGACATGGATGGCAGTTTCACAACAAGTATATTCTGGCCTTAGTGTAGATTCTGCACATGATGAGATCTCACCCGAGCGTCGACTCTCTCCCCGCTCACCCTCTCAAGCCTGAATGAAGTTTTCTTGAGTCCATGTAAGCGTGATCGAGTTGTTGGTGTGTGTGAGCTGTTGTTGGTGTGTGTGAGCTGATGTTGGGTCTCTGGGTCTCGTCTGCAGTGGATTTTGGCGTCAGCGCTCAGCTGGATCGAACCGTCGGCCGCAGAAACACCTTCATTGGAACGCCGTACTGGATGGCTCCGGAGGTCATCGCCTGTGACGAAAACCCGGACGCTACTTACGACTACAGGGTAATAACCTGCACACACACACATGCCTCACACCCTCAGGGGAAGATCAAGCACTGCAGGGACATTCAGCATGTTGAACAGATGCAGTTTCTCATCAACACTGAGCTCCGTGAATGAGCTGACGAGACGATGTTCTGCTTTCCCTGTAGAGCGATCTGTGGTCCTGTGGGATCACGGCTATAGAGATGGCGGAGGGCGCTCCCCGTGAGTACTCCATTACACACCTCCTCTCTCATCTTCCTTTCTTTCTGTCTCTTGATGTCCAGTTGCTTTTACTCCACCATTAGTCCATTCTAGAGGAAATTAATGTCTTTGCTGATTTAAAGCAGGGGTGCCATAGCAAAAACATACACTACCGTTCAAAAGTTTGGGGTCAGTGAGAATTTTATTTTTATTTTTTGGAGGAAAGAAATCAATACTTTTATTTATCAAGGAATAATTAATTTGATCGAAAGTGACAGTAAAGACATTTATAATGTTACAAAAGTCTTTTGAACTTCCTATTCATCAAAGAATCCAAAAAAAAAAAAAAAAAAACTGTACAACTGACAGACCAACAACTGTTTCAACATTGATAATAATAATAAATGTTTCTTGAGCATCAAATCCTCATATTATACTGATTTGTGAAGGATCATTTGACACTGAAGACACTGACACTGGTGATGCTGAAAATTCAGCTTTGATCACAGGAATAAATTACACTTTACTATATATTCACACAGAAAACAGCTGATTTACACTGGAATAATATTTAATACTATAACTGATTTTTGTTGTATTTTTAATCAAATAAGCGCAGCCATGGTTAGCAGAAGAGAATTCTTTTAAAAGTATTGAAAATCGTACCGACCCCAAACTTTTGAACGGTAGTGTACATACCTGTAGTTTTCCAATAATCCTGAAGGACTTGATGAGCTGGATCCGGTGCGTTTAATTGGGGCTGAAGACCGTGGCCCGCCAGGAGCTAACCCTAAATTGACATATGACTTTCTGTCCTCGTTGGAGCTGCTCTTGTCTTACTGAGGCTCCGTACCAGTCGCCCACCTCACTCTTGTGGTGATATAGCTGCATATATTAGATCATTTGTTCCTCATTTGCATACATTCAAATATGCAACTGGTTTTCACACATAATCAGTCGCGACACAATTAAAATTGTTGGTCGAACATTACCTTTAATATCCTGAATTGATAACTGGGTTTCATGGGACGTGTGTGTCGGTGTTTTGCAGCGTTGTGTGATATGCATCCCATGCGCGCGCTCTTTCTCATACCCAGAAATCCTCCACCCAGACTCAAGTCCAAGAAATGGTCAGTACCTTCATCTTATTGCCGTATTGATGTCAGCAGGTCAAAGGTCTCCGGTGCTCCTCCAGAAACGCTCTCCTCTCCCGTGATCTTGTTTTCAGGTCCAAGAAGTTCTTCAGCTTCATCGAGGGCTGTCTGGTGAAGAACTACACGCAGCGGCCGCCCACCGACCAACTCCTGAAGCATCCCTTCATCAGGGACCAGCCCAACGAGAGGCAGGTGCGGATCCAGCTCAAAGACCACCTGGACCGCTGCCGCAAGAAGCGCGGAGAGAAAGGTACGGGTGCGGGTCCTGTCGACACAGTGTGTGTTTGTGCTCGCGTGTGACGTGTGCTTGTGCTCCGACTGCAGATGAGACCGAGTACGAGTACAGCGGCAGTGAGGAAGAGGAGGAAGAAGCTCAGGAGCAGGAGGGAGAGCCCAGGTATGACGCAACACACATGAAGAAGAATATGAAAGCGTTTGAAACACAATGAACAGACCCAGATTACAGATCTCTCATTGGCAGATCTCTTCTTACTTCTCCTCTGGATTCGATGAAATACATTAAGATGAAATATCCATGTATGAAATTTCAGAGGTGTGGTTTCAGTTGTTCCCACATTTATTACATATATTAAGCATGCATTTCAGTATGTAAGTGATTGATTGGTGTATCATCATTTGAAAACGTTTGTATGCAGATTTCATGCACAGATTTATGCATATAAGAGCTGCACGATTCTGAATGAATTGAGAATCACAATTTTTTCACGATTCTCCCATGATGCTAAAAAGAAAACAAAATAACATGCAATTGTTACGGCCGTCTAGGGGCCAGGCCGCTACAGAAAAGATTTTTGGACATAGGCTTAATTTGTGGGTATTTACTACAATGAAGGAAAGAAAAAAAATTTGATTGGGAAAACCTTCCGGTCCCAACAAGGGCAAAAAAACAAAACCCAAAACTCAACCCTCTGTCTACTTAACCTCATCAAAAGAAAATACAAAGTTATCTGCCCTACCTACCACATGCTTTAAACAGAGACAAAGAAAATAACAATGAAAATAAATGGCATTGTAACCCAATAAATCAATATTTATAAGAATTTACAAAGTATGAACAAATAATACAAATAAAGAACCTGTCACGGTGTGGTGTAGGTAGAAGAAAGGCGAACAGGCAAAAAGCTCCAATATAAACGTTTACTCCCAACTAGTGTTGCTTTTGTCAACGAAAATTATGACTAAATATGGTCGTCAACGAACCTTTATCACGTTACGAAAACGAGACGCAACGTAAATGCTGGTCATGTGACGATGACTATAATTAAATGTGTAATGCAATATTTTTGACGAATAAAAACGAGACTAAATGTGGTTTACAAAATAAAAACTATGCTAAAATGTCTCTTCATTTTCGTTGACCAAAACGAGACGAAATGTTATTTAACGTTATAATTTCGTCTCGTTTACTTGCATTATTATTATGCAGTCTGTTTCCTGTGTCACTTCAGGGGCTGCATCAGATCGCACTGCGCAGACGCAGGCACCTTCACATCCTCAAGCCCCACTCGCGGCATTATTAAGAAGATGCAGCTGCGTGAGTTACGGCCAGGGATGTAGTGGAGGCTAAACGCACGTAAACGCCGTTTACGCACCTCCCAATATTCGTAAATAGCGTTTACCCACCTCCAAAGTGCGTTTATCCACCTCTAAATTGCGTTTATCCACCTCTAAATAGCCTGTAGTAGACATTTTAAATTAAGCTTATGTCGTTTTAGTTTCATATTGTTCATTATTAGTTTCATAGGTTGTTAAACCTAAGACGAACTCTTTCATATTGCGCTGCATTACTGTCAGTGTTGTTGACTATTACTGACGGTGTGCTGTTGACGCTCGCGCAGCCTCTCGAGCAGAAATCTACACAAATGAGCGCACACACACACTCAGTTAACAACGAACATACTGCCTATTAAATATAGAGTTTTATATATATATAGAGTTTTTATACTTTTAACGTTAAGCAACCTCAATTATTTTTCCTGAACACCATCACGATTGAAAATGTGACATTGATTTCCTACAACAGTTCAACAAACAGTTAAAATTAGGTCACTTACATTTTAGATGCAATATTGGCTGTTTTTGTTCTGTTTCAGCAGCGAAAATAGTTCCAAACAAAAATCACAGCAGAACCACGGCACATCTCACAGGAACACTCAACCTGTTTTCATTACTGAATGATTCAGCATTTTGAAAGAATCGATTGAGTCAAAGATTCAATGACCCATTCATAAACATCTGTCTCATTCTTGAATGAATCAGCCGTTTGAACAAATCGTTTGATTGAATGAATCAATGACTCACTCATTAAGACAGTCGCCTGTCGCCACCTACTGGCGGTTTAGTGTTATGTTTAAAAGTAGTATCATTCTTTCCAATGTTTCTTATATGTAAATTTAAATCAATTTCATTACATTATTTTATGCAATTGTAATTTTTCAGTGTATATGATTTAATTTGATCAGCCCCTAGGGTAACAGCCCTATAGTGTCTTATTATTCGAAATAATTGAATTTATTGATCAAATTTAGGAATTTAAAAATGAAAGATGAAGCATACATTTAATAATAGTGGGGGAGGGGATGCCCTTTAAAGGTGCAGATATTACAATATGGCGATTTAAATATCAAAGCTGATTGAACACTGATGAGAATATTGTTTCAGAATAAATTAACACACACGCACAAAAAAAAAAAATCCGGACGAGCAACTTTTTTACTCGGACAAGTGAATGACAGATTTACTTGTCCTAAGAACAAGCGTATGAAAAGGCTTAATGTCGAGCCCTCCCTATAGCAATGTCATCAGGATACACATACACCGGTAGGCAGTGGCCCACCTTACCGGGTGACCACGTCGTGGTCCACCAGAATTTACAGTTTACCCACCTCTTTTTTTACCACTACACCTCTGGTTACGGCTGTTTCACACATACTCCGTGTGTAGTGCGTATGCGGTGCGTGTTGCGGTGTGTATGCAGGAGCAGCACACGCTATTGTGCTTTCACATGTGCTGCGTTTGCAGTGCGCAACTGATACGGCTGTACCACAATCACAACATTTATTCTCTATTTTTTATTTCAAATCAATATTTTTAGCCTACATCCATTATGTCGTGTTGTTGAGGTACTGTAGATCTCTGCTCTGCTGTTACGCACGCTCCTGGAGCGCATTGCCGGACCGCATCCGCGTGCGCTGTGAGCGCTCTAACCTATTAACATGGGTGCGGGAAAAAATACGAACCACATACGCACTGCAAACGGAGTATGTGTGAAACGGGCGTTAGCATAAACTACAACAAACAAAGTTAAGTCTGACACAGAGAAAGGGATTCGTCTTTGAGAGAAAAAGAAGAAATGACATTTTGAAAAACTTTCATTTCATCATGTGTGTAGGCTTAGGCTACTTCTAACATGTTTGGTTGGTAAAATCCCTTCCGTGTCTGGAATGGATGTATTCTTGAGTCTATAAGGTAGCAATAATATAAGAAGATAACTATAAGAAGATAAGATTGTTTGAAATGAGTTTGGCTAAAAGAAAATTTTGGTTTTGTCTATACTACTAGGTACTTACACTATATTGACTGGGTTAAATAGAATTGCATTACTAAAAAGAGACTAAAATACAATTTGCATTGACTAAAACTAGACTATGTCTTTCGTCGACTAAAACTAGACTAAAATGTCATCAGTTTTCGTCGACTAAAACTAGACTAGACTAAAAAGAGTATGAACGTGACTAAAACTAATAAAAACTAAAATGACAGCTTGACACAAAGACTAGACTAAAACTAAAATTAAAACAGGCCGGCAAAAACAACACTACTCCCAAAAATATAATATGAACAGGTACAGAATGGGTAGAAGGCTCACACACACACCAATTACAACGTAGAACGGACAATGAACAAGGCAAAACACAGGGCTTAAATACATGGGGAAACAGATCAGAGAAACGAGACACAGCTGACAAGACTAACGAGGTGAGACAGATGAACTAATAATGATGATGACACGTGACAAGATGACAGGTAGACAAGTCCAATGAAAACAAACTAAACGGAACCCAACTGTGACATTACTCCCCCCTCCCGGTAGGCGCGTCCTCGCGCCGAAGGAAGACCAACTGCGGATGGAGGGGGTTCAGGAGGAGGACGAAGAGCAGGTGAAGTGCAGATAGAAGGCAGGAGGGACAAGGGCGGAGGAGATGGTGCAGGCGGCCAGGGCGGAGATGACGGAGGGAGGAGCCATGGAGAAGGCGGGGTTGGACTCCAGGGCGCCGACTGAGGGGGGCGGAGCAGGTGGTAGAGGAGACCAGGGTGGAGCCGGAGAGTCGATGAGCCCATGCGACGCCGAGGGTCCGGCGGGGACACAGAAGGGCACGGTGAAGACAGAGGGAGTGAGGACCAAAGGGGAACTGAAGGGAGTGAGGAGTCCAACAGAGCTGGGGGGACGAAGGGACGAGGCGTAGCCAGAGGAGAGAACTCCAGAGGTGAGGGAATGGGGGACGAGGTACTACTCTACTCTAACCCAAGGTGGAGTTTATGGGACGAAGGGCCGAGGTAGAGTCCTGGTTGCGTAGGATGGAGGTGGAGACCGGGGATCCACCGACCAGGGTGGGGCTGCAGGCCGGCAGACCCACGGCAACTCCACCTCGCAGAAGGTGGTTAGAAGAGGAGCTGAGGGGCTGACAGGCAGTGGCGGAAGAGTAGAGAGTTGGCAGATGGAAGGAGGTGGGAGAGGGAGGCTGGGTGGGAATTTGGAGACAGACTTGGGGAAAGAAGATTCAAGCTCGGCAGGATTGACGTGAATCTCAGGCTCGGCAGGACTGACGTGAACAGTTTGGCTCGGCGGGCATGACGTGAACAGTTTGGCTCGGCGGGCATGACGTGATGCGCAGGCTCGGCAGGACTGACTTGAAGTGCAGGCTCGGCAGGACTGTCGTGAAGATCAAGCTCGGCAGGACTGACGTGAAGAAGCTCAGGCTCGGCAGGACTGTCGTGAAGATCAAGCTCGGCAGGACTGACGTGAAGAAGCTCAGGCTCGGCGGGACGAGCCTCTGGACGGGTGGTCTCGGCCATCTTTGCCGGAGACAAGGGTTCAAGCATGATGTGGAGATCAGGCTGGTCAAGAATGATGAGAAGATCAGGCTGGTAGGGCATGATATGAAGATCCGGCTGGTCAGGCATGACGTGAAGAACAGGCTGTGGAACGGCATACTGAGGAATGAAGCTCTCTAGACAAATAAAGAGTGCCTCTCTCCAGCCCAAACTGGAGAGATCTGGGAGCTCCCTCGGATCGACGACATGTGCCCCCATCCGATAACAAGCCTTGATAGCTTTATCATTTAAGGTGCTGGTGACAGCGAGATGGTAAAACCCCTCTGTAAATACAAACAGATTGCGGCTACCTTGAGCCATCGCCGCGATCTGTTCTTCTGTCACGGTGTGGTGTAGGTAGAAGAAAGGCGAACAGGCAGAAAGCTCCAATTTAAACGTTTACTCCCAACAATATAATATGAACAGGTACAGAATGGGTAGAAGGGTCACACAGACCAATTACAACGTAGAACGGACAATGAACAAGGCAAAACACAGGGCTTAAATACATGGGGAAACAGATCAGGGAAACGAGACACAGCTGACAAGACTAACGAGGTGACAGGTGAGACAGATGAACTAATAATGATGATGACACGTGACAAGATGACAGGTAGACAAGTCCAATGAAAACAAACTAAACGGAACACAACTGACTACAAGCTCAAACACAAATCAAAATTGAAATAAACAAAAACAACACAAGGGCAACTAAACCAAACGTCTACGAGTGAGCGTTGAAAGAAGCTCCTGAAGAAGGCGAGTGGAGGCCTGTTAAACTCCTAGACTCAGCCAGTAGGAGGCAGTCTCCAATAATGACTATAGCCAATCCGGAGCTGCCACCTCCGCATCTCAGGACACATACATAAGCAGCACGAGAAACAACTGTGGTTATACCAGCAATTTACTGGAGCTTCTGACAAAATATTAATTGCTGCAATCTATTTTAAAATATTTTATTAATTTTAATTAATTAAAAAGAAAATCAGTTTGAATGAATGATTCAATAACCAGACTGATCTCATGAAATGGCGTATGTATGACACGCCAATTCGTATTTCCATTTTTGGCGTGCTATCAACACGCATAATCGCTTTTCAGCGTGTTTATCAACGCCTTGACTTAACGTTACATTACTGTATATATAAATATATGACCTACCCCAATCCCGTCCCTAAACCTACCCGTCACTGGGGTTAATACCATTTATGAGTCTTCCCCTACCATCCTAGGAAAAAAAATATTGCTCCACAGATGTAGATCTACATTTTGCTTCGTTTCGCTCGGACATTTAATGGCGTGTACATACACGCGGGATCACTCGGACATTTAACGGCGTAGACATACACGCAAAAGATGACGGTTCGTTTCGGCGTGGACATACACGCGGATAGCTCAAAATGCGTATAGATAACACGCCACTTGACTTGAAAGTGGCGTGTATGTTTACGCAAAGTAAACATGATGTCATGTTGCAATAACTTGTCTTGTCTCATTACTGGATGAATCAATGTTTTTTAACGGATATCTTGAACGGATAATTCAATGACTCACTCAAAGACTTCACTTCAATGACGAATATATTTTTTTACAGTCACTTGTCGCTACCTACTGGTGTAGCGATGTAATTGATACATCTTTATTTGGAGCGTCAAGTTACTACCGTTGACATCAGTGTTTATTTCCAAATTATAAACTTTTATCCCAGTACTTCTGTGAATATTCTGAATGATTGTAAGACAGAGATACTCTGTGGTCAAAACACTGTTTCTGTCAGGACCACTATCGTCAAATACGATTGACAATTAGCATACAGTTTGGATTGGCGGTATGGTTCCGTTCTGGGCGAGAACTGCCTGCAAATCTTGACTGAGACAGGTGGAGCTGGGGAGGGAAGAGGGTAATCCGCTCCTGAGAAACGTGATAGCTGCTGATAATACTGAAGGAGCTTATTATCTATACAGTGATAGGCGTCGTATTCCTATAGGTAGACATGGATCAGCTGAGAGTCACTGATGCGAGCTTGACTAACGTGACCTGCCAGAACCATCACTTGATTTGTGAAGCTGTTTTATATCTATACTAGGGCTGCACGATATTGAAGAAAAATGTGATATGCGATAACTCATTAAATAATGTGAAATGCGATACGATAATGCTTAAAGTGTGTAAAATAAACTTAAATTATATATTATGTAACCTAAATACGTGTTTCACATTCTTTTTGTGACAAGAAAACATCCCTACAACTTCTGGAAGTGTTTTACTGTCGCATAAGAAGTGTTATTAACATCAGTGTAAAGCACGGGGTTCAGGGGTTCATCCTACATTAGGGTTATTTTACAACAGAAACTGAATAATCAAATCCAAAATTAAAACACTGCTTAGTTCCCTTTCGAGGGAACTCGCGAAGCATTGATGACGCTTTGGGAACGCCTCCAGCGTGAATGCGTCTGAAGCATCTATGTCAACTAGTCCAATGGAAAGAATGAGCGCCACGGGCGGGTGACGTCATGACCAGGATGAGCTAAAGCGCATCCGGTGCAAACCGGCATTAGCTTCTGTTGCCTCAGCAAGCGATCTGTGTCAATCTGTCTGTTATATTTACTGTTGTCTGCCTGATATACACATATCTAAACACTATGACGAAACAATTGCACAGTGTTTCTCCCTGCTCGCGTTATTTAACGAGTGGGGACACACACAAGCTTTGTGTGATGTGTTTGGGAGTAGAGCATGCGGTATCAGCCTTCGAGGGGGCTGATGGGCAGCGTTATTTAGAGAAACTACTTGACATCAACAACATGGACCCGTACGACCTGCTACAGAATGAACGAAAGACCCAAAGCACTACCACCTTTCACATACCCTGACATAGTCAATTACCTGGTTTATGGTATCGGTGCCTAACTTTACTGCCTAGACATTACAATGCAAGAGTTCAGAAGCTTTAAGTCATTAGAAGCTTATGAACAATTCTGCTGCGGCTGGGTGCAAGACTTAGAAAGTCCCAAACCTGTAACGTTAAACTGCGAGAGTTCAGTCATACTTGATGTTTCAGGCCTCATTCATATGTGGAAATAAATCTGATATGAATCAGATACGTGTATTTGCACCTGCCGTGCAACGTTAAGCGGACAGATCGGACATTCCCCTGTCAATGCGAATCGTACGTCATTAAAAAAAGTGTCTCCGATAGAACCCCTTTCATTTCTCTTCCTTCTTCTCCATATCTTCTTAAGAAACTGCGGCGTATCGCTAGAATGTAAACAAACACTAAGCTGCGCTGTCTCTCTCGCTATTTCTGGAATGTTTAGTCGCGCCTCTGTGAAGTTCTGAAGGCGTTGCCCCTGGCAACCGATAGCGTCTCCTACCATCATGGCCGACCGGCTCAGACCCCGCCCAAATCGGCACGTGACTCCTCACTCTCAATACATGAAAACGGCTCTCTCTGGATCAGAATATTCGCTGTGATCGGACATGTCAGTGGTTTAATAGACATAGATGACTGTCATTTAGGAATAATAGCCTATGTGTCTGCCTGAATCGTGATCTTTGTGAGAATGGCTGGAAAAGTCATATAGTTGATTTTTAAGGACCAGTGTGTAACTCTGCTGTGTTCTGAATCCCGCAGCTCTATCGTGAATGTCCCGGGCGAGTCGACTCTGCGCCGGGACTTCATCCGTCTACAGCAGGAGAATAAGGAGCGCTCGGAGGCGATGAGACGACAGCAGCTCCTCCAGGAACAGCAGATGCGCGAGCAGGAGGAATACAAGCGCCAACTACTGGCAGAACGACAGAAGCGCATCGAGCAGCAGAAAGAGCAGAGGCGGCGGCTGGAGGAGGTGAGCACACGCCAGTGATGCTGTGTGACTTCCCACGCCACACCTGAACCAGTCAAACACAAGTCACCGCACCATCAAGAAGAGTTTATATATGTGTAGGGCTAGAAAAACAACTGGCGAAATGTGTCAAAAGCCTGCACTCTAAGGAACAACTACATCCACCACTACAATGGCAACATTTCTGTCACATGTGATCAATGCCTGACTAAATTTATGAGCCTTATTGGATAATTTAAGTCACATGTTCAGCAGTTGCTAAAATCACCCATCACAAAATACATTTCATCTGCAACAATATGATCCTACAATAATACGCATTGCATGTACTATACCAAAGGATAGGTCAGTTAAACATCTCCGTTTGGCCCTTTAGGGATAAAAAAAACAAAAACATTTTGAACAACATGGGTCACATGATGACAAACTCACATGTCACAACATGGCATACAGTAAGTCTTCAATGATATGAGCCTGTTAATCCAACTAGAACATTCCATAGTATAGCGAAACAGTTTGGCGAAATTTGCCATTTTGAAAGCAAAATTGGCATCTTATTCTTTAGTTGGTTAAAACCTAGAATAACAGTAACCCTTTCAGCTGCTCTTTCTTTATCAGTTTACAGTGACCGTAATGTACGCTGTGTAGGCGGGATATTCAAACGCATCTTGCATTGTGATGTCACATTGTGGCAGGTTTAAAACATGTTGTTATTGCAGTGCCTCATGTTTGCTGAAGGACAAGGAACCGTTTAGGCCCTTCTGTCTTTATATGTTGAAACTTAAAGGTATTGTAGGTAGAAATTTTATAAAAAAAACTTTTTTCCAAATTTGTTTAAACTTTCTATATATATCAATGCATAATTAAAATGTTAGTAGTCTGATAAAAAGAGTATAAAAATCGAATGTCTGTAGACCTCTCACGACTGTTTTAAAGACAGCTCATTATTTCCATTCACCCCACCCCCTCCCTTCTGGGCTCCTTCCAAAGCCATGCCCCCAAAACACATGAACTCGCGACTCCGACCGCTGAGCTGAAGACGCATTATTTACCTGAGACGAGCGGAGAGGAAGGAGCGCAGTGCATGTAGTGACATCATGTCAGAATCACATGTAATAAAAAAAATCTTAACTTTATCGTTATGAAGATAAACAAATAAGATTTATTTTTGTACTCACTATCAAGCTAGCATATTGATATCGGTAAAGTTTAAAATATATTTTTATTGATTCGCTAACGAGCTAGTTATCTATAAGGCAAAGCTAAAAACAGGTTGCATGATACACGTTTTTCCATTGCCATCATTTACACTGTGATGAAGATGAATTTCGTGTAACATTCATAACATATATGGTGTTCTGCATGTAAGAGTTTCCATGATGGAAAGCATTGTTGACTCTGATGAGGACTATCTGATAATCACTCTCCAGAGACAAGTACCGCATCGTCAGCTCGAGGACAGATAAATCGTTGTTTATCCAAAGACTTTTTGTTCATTACCTTTTCTTTACTGTCTTCCTTTTTTTGGCTGGTTTGCCTTCGCGAACTGCATATGTGGATTTTGATTGGTCTTTCTCTGCCATTGTTTTGCTATTCCTAGGTTCCCTGCCTCTTGAATTCCTCAAATCAAACGGGTACGCGCAAGTGGGCGGGTCCTGTGTGGCAAAAGGGTGGTTGCCATGGTTGCGAGAGAGTGACAGTCGCCTAAGCAAATCCTTTGTTTTGTCCCGGATGGAAATAATGAGCTGTGTTTAGTGCAGATTAAACGGTCTAGAGTCACTCGATTTTTATACTCTTTTTATCAGAGTACTTACATTTTAATTATGCATTGATATATATAGAAAGTTTAAACAAATTTGAAAAAAAGTTTTTTATAAAATTTCTACCTACAATACCTTTAAAGTGGCAATACTTTTACGAAGAACAACACAGCGTAAAATTTGTCCTGCAACTCAAGACAACACCATTATTGAGTTGAAACTTAAGCAAATGTCAATGATGATTGTAAGTTTAACTGCAGAGTAATTCCTGTGTACTGCAGCAACAAAGACGAGAGCGAGAGATGAGGAGACAACAAGAGCGAGAGCAGAGGAGGAGAGAGCAGGAGGAGAAGAGACGTGTGGAGGAGATGGAGAGGAGACGCAAAGAAGAGGAGGAGCGCAGGAGGGCAGAAGAGGAGAAGAGGAGGGCCGACCGCGAGCAGGTGAGCTAGGGCTAACCCTCACCCTAACCTAGGGCTAACCCTCACCTTAACCTAGGGCTAACCCTCACCCTAACCTAGGGCTAACCCTCACCCTAACCTAGGGCTAACCCTCACCTTAACCTAGGGCTAACTCTCACCCTAACTTCATCACTGATAACGGCCCTGGTTTTCAGTGTTTGGCCAAGCGAAGCGTTTGTAGCTCAAGATAAGATGTGAGGGAGGAGGGAAGACGCTCCTGGTCATTGGTTAAAATTGCCATTTAAGCCATTTAAAGTTTTCAGTGAAACCCTGAATGTGAAGTTCCACATAAATTATTTTGTATCTGCAATCTATTTAGGCACGTATTGTGTTGGTTAGTTTCCTCTTTTTTTCCTCTGATTCCACATTTTCTGCCATGATAAACTCTCTGAAAAGCCTTCTAACTCGTCGTAGACTAGGGCCGGGTGTCGACACTGATTTCTCTGAGTGATTTGATTCCGATTCACAAGCTCTTGATTTGAAAGATTCAAGTTTCCCAAGGAAAAAAATCTTTGAAATAAAGCTGTAAACCCTGTCAGTTGGTACTTTAATAATATTGTACTGGCCATAATAAAAAATGGATTCTGGCTTTTCCTGTAGCTTTATACATTTTTTCCCAGAGTTGAGAAGGCAGGTAATTCACAGTGTTTTGACTCGCACCCAATAATCCAACGAGATGGTTTTGTCCGAGAATATGCCGGTTTTTTCTTTTTATTACAAATAAAAATAAAATACAAACAAAAGATGCAATGAGATGCAAAAATGATAAGAGTTTAACTGCAAGACAATGTCAGCACAAGAGCAGCGTGTCAGGCAGGTGTTTGAGTGGGCGAGGTCAAGAACGGTCTCTCTGCGGCCTGCTCTCCTCCTGTCATGCGCAGGTGGCATCTCTTTTATCCAGGTTGGGTGACACCAGTTACCACCTAAAGGGGGTGGCACCCTCACAAAATGCACAAAAAACAAAACAAAACAAAACATAAGAAACTTAAATGTGGCTCCTACAAATATCATACTAAAGATTAAAATTAACAACAGTCCATATCCAGTTATTTATTAAGTTTTACACAGCTCAAATTTGAGTTTGAAACTCAAACATTTGAATTGCACATCATGCCGTTTTTTTATATAAGCCTTAATGAGATCATTGTTTCCCATCACATTTGTTTAGAAGATTCTCTGTAATAAAAACTTGTCTCGTTTATTGTATGTTTGAATAAATCGGACATAAAAACTCATTAACAGGTTAAGAAAATATATAATGAATATGTAATACAGTGCATTTATTTACCAAGATGCTCCTCTCTAGAGTTGGGTAACGAGTTTCTGGTCATTGCATGGCTTTCCTGAGTGAAATGTGCCGTTGCACTTGTTAGGGTCAGGACACCACATGACAGGTCTAGAGACATAGATGTATCACTGTAAACTAAAGAAAATCATAGCAGGACTAAACTCTTTGGCAGTAAAAGACTTTTAGGTTCTCTTAATAATTCCAAAAACGCAGTTCCCTTTCGTTGTCACTCCGAGTTCCGTCGGATGACGACGAAGGGGGGTTTCGCTTAGAAAGCCAATCGACTTCGAGTACTACAAAACGAGCCAATGGCAAAGAAATGCCATGGGTCTGCGGAATTTGCATAGCGTAACTCCGCCTCACCTCGTGGGTATTTAAGGAGAACGCTGGCAGCAAATAGCATGTTTTCGCTTCGCAGCCAAGTTGATCCTTCGTTCCACAAGCCATTCCTGTACTGTCAGTTCTTCAAGACGAGCGAGATTCTCTGGTGTTGGTGTGACGGCGATCTCCGGCGAGCGCGCACTTCCTGCCTATCTGTCTGTGATTTGACAGCGAGTGTGTTTCTCCCCGGGGCTCTTCAACACAGTCAGAGTTTCTTTCCTCTCACAAAAGAGCTTGCACGCGGCACGTCTTTTTAAAGATGCCTCGCCCGTGCACTTCTGGTTGCGGTAGACTCGTTGCCGACTCTGATGGGCACGAGCGTTGCATAGTGTGTTTGGGCATTGATCACGCTAGAGCAGCTCTCGTGGATGACTCATGTTCTCTCTGCGGGAACATGACCATCGCAGCACTACGATCGAGACTCAGTGATCTCGCAAGAGTGAGAGTCCCCTCATCCACACCCCGATCTACTGACTCTAGAAATAGAGCTAGTACTTCGGCTGGTGGCCAGGGTGATCTGAGGGTGACGGTTTGGAACAAAGCGCCGACTATCAGTCCGTGCCCAGCCGCACCCTCTCCATTGTTGCAACCCGTGAGTGCTCAGGTGTTTTCTGCGGGATCATCTTCGGGTGTCCCGCGGGTTTCCTTTGGCGCTCCAGAGGAGGACGCGATGTCTATCGCGGCATCACAAGGTGGGTCTGAATCTTCTGGAAGTGAAGACTCATCACAGCTGCCACCTTCGGGTGTGAGCACAGTTGTGTCAGAGTCTGATCCGGAGATGACGGCCATGCTGTCTCGAGCCGCCGCGAGCATCGGGTTAGAGTGGACCCCTCCGCCCTGTCCCGAGCGCTCGCGGCTGGATGATTGGTATTTGGGTCAGGCTGCGGACCCCCGTCCGCGTCAGGCCCCGATACCTTTCTTCCCGGACGTGCATGATGAGATCTCGAAGTCCTGGAAGACCCCCATGTCTTCCCGTGACCGCTCGATGATTTCATCCGCCTTTCCTCCCCTCGATGAGGCCGCTGCCCGTGGGTACACTGGGCTCCCCCCGGTTGAACGCTCTGTTGCGATGCAACTGTGTCCTCAGAGCGCTTCTTCTCGTGGTGAGCCTAAGCACCCATCCAAAGCCTGTAGTTACTCGTCTACGTTAGTGGCGAAGTCTTACAGAGCTGCGGGACAGGCCGCCACCTCTTTGCATGCCATGGCCATTCTGCAGGTCTACCAGGCCCAGATGCTCAGGGACATGCACGAGGGCAGGACAGACCCAGGGCTCTTCAATGAGCTGCGCGCCGCCACCGACCTTGCTCTCCGAGCGACGAAGGTGACCGCACGCTCCCTGGGTTTGGTGATGTCCACAGCTGTGGTCCAGGAGAGACACCTCTGGCTGAACCTTGCTGATATGAAGGATGCCGAGCGGTCCCGGCTGCTCGACACCCCCATATCACAAGACGGCCTTTTCGGCGGTGCAGTCGAGGATTTTGCCCAACAGTTCTCGACTGCTCAGAAACAGACTGAGGCTATTAAGCATATTCTGCCCCGACGGCCCGCTGCTGCCTCCACCCAGCCGACCAGGCAGAATACTCAGTCTGTTCGCCGCCGAGGGCGCCCTCCTACGGCTCCCGCCCCTCCCGCCCGGCCCAAGCAGCAGCCTTCACCTGGGCCCGGTCGCGGAGGAAGCCGTAAGAAGGCGCCCCAGCCCTCTCCAGCCCCTCCCCCCGCTAAACGCCGGGCCAAGCGGCGCTCCTGAGACGGGCTGCTCAGGGATGATGTGCACTTCTCAGGAGATGGTAGCAGGACCACTCCTTCCCCCGGTGGAGGGCCGGGGGAGAATCTTTTGTTCTCCACTCACCGCTGCTCACCCTCGGGTGGGCAGCACCCTTATGTGGTTAAAGAAAGAAGTGACACGTTCATCCCTGAGCACACAGAGTTCTCGGACGACATGGTGCGCCGCCCCCGGGCCGTGCACCCCTTGTCCTCCTCTGTCCCAGAGCCGGATGACAGTGCGCGCCGTCCCCGGACCGTGCCGCTCTCATCCTCCTCTGTCACATTCGAAAACGCGAATGTGCGGGGTCATGCGAACCACAGACTTCCCGTCGGTGGGGCAGCGAGGCGGTATGGCTGACCCAGAGGTGGACGGCATAGCGGCCCGACCGCTGCTCTCATCCTCCTCTGTCGCCAGACCCCTGGCAGAGCAGACCCCCGTGGAACGTTCGTCCTTCCCTGGTCTCCTCTGTCAGGACGCGGTCTATGGCTGTACCCCCACATCGGGCCGCTATGCCGTCCACCTCTGGGTCAGCCATACCGCCTCGCTGCCCCACCGACGGGAAGTCTGTGGTTCGCATGACCCCGCTGGTACAGTCCTTGGGAGCCTGGCTAGAGCTTCCCAACCTGTCCCGCTGGGTCGCACGAACGATCAGGCTCGGCTACGCGATTCAGTTCGCGCGGTCTCCTGCCCGCTTCAGGGGAGTCCGCTCCACTATGGTCGGTGGCAATGCCCCTATCATGAGAGCGGAGGTTGCCACCCTGCTGGCGAAGGGTGCGATCGAGACTGTCCCTCCAGCCGAAATGAGGACCGGCTTCTACAGCCCGTACTTCATTGTCCCGAAGAAAATCGGTGGGTTACGGCCAATCCTGGACCTGCGCGTTCTGAACCGCTCCCTTCACAGGCTGCCGTTCAAGATGCTCACCGCCAAACGCGTTTTCGAATGTGTGCGGCACCAGGATTGGTTTGCAGCGATCGACCTGAAGGACGCCTACTTTCATGTCTCCATTCTCCCTCGACACAGACCGTTCCTGCGGTTTGCTTTCGAGGGGCAGGCATATCAGTACGCAGTTCTCCCATTCGGGCTAGCCCTGTCTCCTCGCGTCTTCACGAAGGTCGTCGAGACAGCCCTTGTTCCCCTCCGGGAACACGGGGTTCGCATTCTGAATTACCTCGACGACTGGCTAATTCTAGCTCACTCTCGAGATCAGCTTTGCGAACACAGGGACTTGGTGCTCCGCCATGTAGCCCGTCTGGGCCTTCGGGTCAACTGGGAGAAGAGCAAACTTTGCCCCGTGCAGAGGATCTCTTTTCTCGGTATGGAGATCGACTCGGTCGCCATGTCCGCGCAGCTTACGAGCGAGCGCGCGCAGTCACTGCTGACTTGCCTGAGACAGTTCGAGGGCAAGAGTGCGGTTCCACTGAAACTTTTTCAGAGGCTCCTGGGGCATATGGCATCCGCAGCCGTGGCAACACCACTCGGGTTACTTCATATGAGACCGCTTCAGCTTTGGCTTCGCGACCGAGTCCCGAGGTGGGCATGGCAACACGGCACTCTCCGAGTACCAGTTACTCCGACCTGCCGTCAGACCTTCACCCCGTGGTCGAACCTCAGTTTTCTACGGGCCGGAGTGCCCCTGGAACGAGCTTCCCGGCATATTGTTGTAACGACAGATGCCTCTACCACGGGCTGGGGTGCCATGTGCAATGGACGTGCTGCCGCGGGCTCCTGGACAGGACCCCACCGCCTATGGCACGTCAATTGCCTCGAGTTGCTGGCTGTACAGCTCGCCCTGCACTGCTTCTGAGCCGTGCTCAGGGGCCAGCATGTACTAGTCCGTTCAGACAATACCGCGACCGTAGCGTACATCAACCGTCAAGGTGGTCTGCGCTCCCGCCGTATGTCGCAACTCGCCCGCCACCTCCTCTTATGGAGTCAGAAGCATCTGAGGTCGCTTCGTGCCATTTATATCCCCGGAGCCCTGAACTGTGCAGCCGACGAGCTCTCACGGCTTCAGCCCCTCCCGGGAGATTGGCGACTCCATCCCCAGTCGGTTCAGCTGATTTGGGACCAGTTCGGGGACGCACAGATAGATCTGTTTGCCTCTCACGACTCCACCCATTGCGCCCTGTATTATTCCCTGACCAAGGGCACGCTCGGCACAGATGCACTGGCGCACAGCTGGCCGCGGGGCCGCAAATATGCGTTTCCCCCAGTGAGCCTTCTTGCGCAATTGCTGCGCAAGGTCAGGGAGGACGAGGAGCAGGTCACTCTGGTCGCACCGTACTGGCCCACCCGGACCTGGTTCTCCGAACTCATACTCCTCGCGACAGCACCTCCTTGGCCGATTCCTCTGAGGAAGGACCTCCTTTCTCAGGGACGGGGCACCCTGTGCCACCCTCGTCCCGATCTTTGGAACCTCCACGTGTGGCTCCTGGACGGGACGAGGCAGGTTTGAGTACCCTACCGCCAGAGGTGGTGGCTACCATCACTTCCGCTAGAGCGTCGTCCACGAGACACGTCTATGCGTTGAAGTGGAACCTCTTCGTCAACTGGTGCTCTTCTCACCGAGAAGACCCCCGGAGATGTTCGATCAGTGTCGTGCTTTCCTTTCTTCAAGAAGGGTTGGAGCGAAGGCTGTCTCCCTCCACCCTCAAGGTCTATGTCGCCGCCATTGCCGCACATCATGACCCGATAGAAGGTAAGTCTGTGGGGAAGCATGACCTGATCATCAGGTTCCTGAGAGGAGCGAGGAGACTGAATCCTCCTCGCCCTCCTCTCGTACCCTCTTGGGACCTCGCAGTGGTCTTAACTGCCCTGCGCAGCGCTCCCTTTGAGCCTTTGCAGTCGGTCGAGCTTAACTTCCTGTTAATGAAGACAGCGATTCTGACTGCATTGGCCTCCATCAAGAGGGTGGGGGACCTGCACGCATTCTCCGTTGACGAAGCGTGCTTGGAATTCGGGCCGGGTGACTCTCACGTGATCCTGAGACCCCGGCCTGGATATGTGCCCAAGGTTCCTACCACTCCCTTCCGGGACCAGGTGGTGAACCTGCAAGTGCTGCCCCCAGAGGAGGCAGACCCAGCCTTGGCACTGCTCTGTCCAGTACGTGCTCTCCGCATCTATGTAGACAGAACGCAGTGTTTCAGGGCCTCAGACCAGCTCTTTGTCTGTTATGGTGGGAAGCTGAAGGGAAAGGCTCTCTCCAAGCAGAGGTTGTCTCACTGGATAGTGGACGCCATTGCTTTGGCATACCAGCAGCAAGGACGACCGTGCCCCCTTGGTGTGACCGCACACTCCACCCGGAGTGTCGCGTCCTCTTGGGCTTTAGCGCATGGCGCCTCGCTAACAGACATCTGCAGAGCTGCAGGCTGGGCGACACCTAACACATTCGCCAGATTTTACAATCTCCGAGTGGAGCCAGTCTCCTCCCATGTACTGTCTTTTTCAAGCTAACATGGGACCCGTTAGGTGTCTTCGCTTGCTCGCCATTCCACTCCACGGACTGGATACGTGCGATATTTCCTCAGGTGAGCTTCCCCAAAAGCCCTGAGCTCCTCCAGCACTGCTGACGCTGGCGCCAGTGTCTATTGCCTGCGCGTCGGCTAGGTGCCTTCCGTGTGCATGGTACCTCCTCTGAGCTACCCCCACATGTGTATTTCCACTGTAAGCCTCTCTGAGCATGTGTCTTTCCCTCGGCAAGCCACCTTGCCACCCCTGGGGTTGAAATATTCCACCTGCGGCTGGACACCCCAGTGATTCCCCATATGCATCCCTCGGGTCATATGTGTATTCTTAAGTCCCCCCCCCCCCCCCCCCTCTGGGTTGGCAGTAATTGCATATTCCCCCAAAATCTGGGATATGCTCCCCAGTGTACCTTGGTATTCCTGTGCTAAGTAGGAGTCCTTCGTCCGTGCTATTCTCACGACAGGGATCTCAGATTTACGCAGGGCACTGGAAGAAAGCTGAGAAGGTGGCGTGATTAGACTGGTATCCCCATTCGTCGTCATCCGACGGAACTCGGAGTGACAACGAAAGGGAACGTCTCGGTTACGGATGTAACCCTCGTTCCCTGAGTAGGGAAGGGAGACGTTCCGTCTTCCTGCCACTTTCCGCTGTACCGCGGGGATCGCCTGAGCTCAGTCTTGGCTCCTCAGCGAAGAAACATGCCTATTTGCTGCCAGCGTTCTCCTTAAATACCCACGAGGTGAGGCGGAGTTACGCTATGCAAATTCGGCAGACCCATGGCATTTCTTTGCCATTGGCTCGTTTTGTAGTACTCGAAGTCGATTGGCTTTCTAAGCGAAACCCCCATTCGTCGTCATCCGACGGAACGTCTCCGTTCCCTACTCAGGGAACGAGGGTTACATCCGTAACCGAGACGTTATTTGGACAACTTTATGTAAATAAAAATGTGTAGATGGGCTACAGAATAGAGTCTGTTCATGCGAAACTACTGGACTCCATCGGTCAGGTGTGCGATCACGTGGACACAGGGCATGAACTCACAGCTTCACCTTTCCCCACGCTCCGTGATATCCATCAGCCTAACTGCTGGTGTATGTTTGGCAGGTGTTTGTGTGTGTGTGTGCGCGTGTGTGTGTCAGGAGCACATCTGACTGTAACGTGTGTGTGTGTGTGTGTTTGTCAGGAGCACATCTGACTGTAACGTGTGTGTGTGTGTGTGTGTTTGTTGTGTTGTGTTGTGTTGTGTGTGTGTGTATCAGGAGCACATCTGACTGTAACGTGTGTGTGTGTGTGTGTGTGTGTGTGTTTGTTGTGTTGTGTTGTGTGTGTGTGTGTATCAGGAGCACATTTGACTGTAACGTGTGTGTGTGTCAGGAGTACATCCGCCGGCAGCTGGAGGAAGAGCAAAGGCACCTGGAGATCCTGCAGCAGCAGCTGTTACATGAGCAGGCCATGCTACTGGTGAGTGAATCCCTCATACACTCAAACACACCAGCACTGGTGAGTGAATCCCTCATACACTCAAACACACCAGCACTGGTGAGTGAATCCCTCATACACTCAAACACACCAGCACTGGTGAGTGAATCCCTCATACACTCAAACACACCAGCACTGGTGAGTGAATCCCTCATACACTCAAACACACCAGCACTGGTGAGTGAATCCCTCATACACTCAAACACACCAGCACTGGTGAGTGAATCCCTCATACACTCAAACACACCAGCACTGGTGAGTGAATCCCTCATACACTCAAACACACCAGCACTGGTGAGTGAATCCCTCATACACTCAAACACACCAGCACTGGTGAGTGAATCCCTCATACACTCAAACAGACCAGCACTGGTGAGTGAATCCCTCATACACTCAAACACACCAGCACTGGTGAGTGAATCCCTCATACACTCAAACACACCAGCACTGGTGAGTGAATCCCTCATACACTCAAACACACCAGCACTGGTGAGTGAATCCCTCATACACTCAAACACACCAGCACTGGTGAGTGAATCCCTCATACACTCAAACACACCAGCACTGGTGAGTGAATCCCTCATACACTCAAACACACCAGCACTGGTGAGTGAATCCCTCATACACTCAAACACACCAGCACTGCATGAGTGAATCCCTCATACACTCAAACACACCAGCACTGGTGAGTGAATCCCTCATACACTCAAACACACCTGAAGATTGACTCTGAAGATTTGTTTGACTGAAAGTTTGTTTGACTCTGAAGGTTTGTTTGACTCTGAAGGATTGTTTGACTGAAGGTTTGTTTGACTCTGAAGGATTGTTTGACTGAAGGTTTGTTTGACTCTGAAGGCTTGTTTGACTGAAGGTTTGTTTGACTGAAGGTTTGTTTGACTGAAAGTTTGTTTGACTGAAGGTTTGTTTGACTGAAAGTGTGTTTGACTCTGAAGGATTGTTTGACTGAATGTTTGTTTGACTGAAAGTTTGTTTGACTCTGAAGGTTTGTTTCACTGAAGGTTTGTTTGACTGAAGGATTGTTTAACTGAAGGTTTGTTTGACTCTGAAGGATTGTTTGACTCTGAAGGTTTGTTTGACTGAAGGTTTGTTTGACTCTGAAGGTTTGTTTCACTGAAGGTTTGTTTGACTCTGAAGGTTTGTTTGACTCTGAAGGTTTGTTTGACTGAAGGTTTGTTTGACTGAAGGTTTGTTTGACTGAAAGTGTGTTTGACTCTGAAGGATTGTTTGACTTAAGGTTTGTTTGATTCTGATGGTTTCTTTGACTGAAGGTTTGTTTGACTCTGAAGGTTTGTTTGACTCTGAAGGTTTGTTTTACTGAAGGTTTGTTTGACTGAAAGTTTGTTTGAGTCTGAAGGTTTGTTTGACTGAAGGTTTGTTTGACTCTAAAGGTTTGTTTGACTGAAGGTTTGTTTGACTGAAGGTTTGTTTGACTCTAAAGGTTTGTTGGACTGAAGGTTTGTTTGACTCTAAAGGTTTGTTTGACTGAAGGTTTGTTTGACTCTGAAGGTTTGTTTGACTGAAGGTTTGTTTGACTCTGAAGGTTTGTTTGACTGAAGGTTTGTTTGACTCTGACAGCCTGTATGTGGTGTAAGGTTTGTTTGACTGAAGGTTTGTTTGACTGAAGGTTTGTTTGACTCTGAAGGTTTGTTTGACTGAAGGTTGGTTTGACTGAAGGTTGGTTTGACTAAAGGTTTGTTGGACTGAAGGTTTGTTTGACTCTGAAGGTTTGTTTGACTGAAAGTTTGTTTGACTCTGAAGGTTTGTTTGACTCTGACAGCCTATATGTGGTGTAAGGTTTGTTTGACTGAAAGTTTGTTTGACTCTGAAGGATTGTTTGACTCTGAAGGATTGTTTGACTCTGAAGGTTTGTTTGACTGAAGGTTGGTTTGACTCTAAAGGTTTGTTGGACTAATGGTTTGTTTGACTGAAGGTTTGTTTGACTGAAGGTTTGTTTGACTGAAGGTTTGTTTGACTCTAAAGGTTTGTTTGACTCTGAAGGTTTGTTTGACTGACGGTTTGTTTGACTGAAGGTTTGTTTGACTCCAAAGGTTTGTTGGACTGAAGGTTTGTTGGACTCTAAAGGTTGGTTTGACTGAAGGTTTGTTTGACTTTAAGGTTTGTTTGACTGAAGGTTTGTTTGACTGAAGGTTTGTTTGACTCTGAAGGTTTGTTTGACTTAAGGTTTGTTTGACTCTAAAGGTTTGTTGGACTGAAGGTTTGTTTGACTCTAAAGGTTTGTTGGACTGAAGGTTTGTTTGACTCTAAAGGTTTGTTGGACTGAAGGTTTGTTTGACTCTAAAGGTTTGTTTGACTGAAGGTTTGTTTGACTCTGAAGGTTTGTTTGACTGAAGGTTTGTTTGACTCTGAAGGTTTGTTTGACTGAAGGTTGGTTTGACTGAAGGTTGGTTTGACTAAAGGTTTGTTGGACTGAAGGTTTGTTGGACTGAAGGTTTGTTTGACTCTGAAGGTTTGTTTGACTGAAGGTTGGTTTGACTAAAGGATTGTTTGACTGAAGGTTTGTTTGACTGAAGGTTTGTTGGACTGAAGGTTTGTTTGACTCTGAAGGTTTGTTTGACTGAAGGTTGGTTTGACTAAAGGTTTGTTTGACTGAAGGTTGGTTGGACTCTGAAGGTTTGTTTGACTGAAAGTTTGTTTGACTGAAGGTTTGTTTGACTCTGAAGGATTGTTTGACTCTGAAGGATTGTTTGACTCTGAAGGTTTGTTTGACTGAAGGTTTGTTTGACTCTGAAGGTTTGTTTGACTGAAAGTTTGTTTGACTGAAGGTTTGTTTGACTCTGAAGGTTTGTTTGACTCTGACAGCCTATATGTGGTGTAAGGTTTGTTTAACTGAAAGTTTGTTTGACTCTGAAGGATTGTTTGACTCTGAAGGATTGTTTGACTCTGAAGGTTTGTTTGACTGAAGGTTTGTTTGACTCTAAAGGTTTGTTGGACTAATGGTTTGTTTGACTCTGAAGGTTTGTTTGACTGAAGGTTTGTTTGACTCTAAAGGTTTGTTTGACTCTGAAGGTTTGTTTGACTGAAGGTTTGTTTGACTCTAAAGGTTTGTTGGACTGAAGGTTTGTTTGACTCTAAAGGTTTGTTTGACTGAAGGTTTGTTTGACTGAAAGTTTGTTTGACTCTGAAGGTTTGTTTGACTGACGGTTTGTTTGACTTGAAGGTTTGTTTGACTGAAGGTTTGTTTGACTTAAGGTTTGTTTGACTCTAAAGGTTTGTTGGACTGAAGGTTTGTTTGACTCTAAAGGTTTGTTGGACTGAAGGTTTGTTTGACTCTAAAGGTTTGTTGGACTGAAGGTTTGTTTGACTCTAAAGGTTTGTTTGACTGAAGGTTTGTTTGACTCTGAAGGTTTGTTTGACTGAAGGTTTGTTTGACTCTGAAGGTTTGTTTTTACTGAAGGTTGGTTTGACTGAAGGTTGGTTTGACTAAAGGTTTGTTGGACTGAAGGTTTGTTGGACTGAAGGTTTGTTTGACTCTGAAGGTTTGTTTGACTGAAGGTTGATTTGACTAAAGGATTGTTTGACTGAAGGTTTGTTTGACTGAAGGTTTGTTTGACTGAAGGTTGGTTTGACTAAAGGTTTGTTTGACTGAAGGTTGGTTGGACTCTGAAGGTTTGTTTGACTGAAAGTTTGTTTGACTGAAGGTTTGTTTGACTCTGAAGGTTTGTTTGACTCTGACAGCCTATATGTGGTGTAAGGTTTGTTTAACTGAAAGTTTGTTTGACTCTGAAGGATTGTTTGACTCTGAAGGATTGTTTGACTCTAAAGGTTTGTTTGACTGAAGGTTTGTTTGACTCTAAAGGTTTGTTGGACTAATGGTTTGTTTGACTCTGAAGGTTTGTTTGACTGAAGGTTTGTTTGACTCTAAAGGTTTGTTTGACTCTGAAGGTTTGTTTGACTGAAGGTTTGTTTGACTCTAAAGGTTTGTTGGACTGAAGGTTTGTTTGACTCTAAAGGTTTGTTTGACTGAAGGTTTGTTTGACTGAAAGTTTGTTTGACTCTGAAGGTTTGTTTGACTGACGGTTTGTTTGACTTGAAGGTTTGTTTGACTGAAGGTTTGTTTGACTGAAGGTTTGTTTGACTCTGAAGGTTTGTTTGACTCTGAAGGTTTGTTTGACTGAAGGTTTGTTTGACTCTAAAGGTTTGTTGGACTGAAGGTTTGTTTGACTCTAAAGGTTTGTTGGACTGAAGGTTTGTTTGACTCTAAAGGTTTGTTGGACTGAAGGTTTGTTTGACTCTAAAGGTTTGTTTGACTGAAGGTTTGTTTGACTCTGAAGGTTTGTTTGACTGAAGGTTTGTTTGACTCTGACAGCCTGTATGTGGTGTAAGGTTTGTTTGACTGAAGGTTTGTTTGACTCTGAAGGTTTGTTTGACTGAAGGTTGGTTTGACTGAAGGTTGGTTTGACTAAAGGTTTGTTGGACTGAAGGTTTGTTTGACTCTGAAGGTTTGTTTGACTAAAGGTTGGTTTGACTAAAGGATTGTTTGACTGAAGGTTTGTTTGACTCTGAAGGTTTGATTGACTGAAGGTTGGTTTGACTCTAAAGGTTTGTTTGACTGAAGGTTGGTTTTACTGAAGGTTTGTTTGACTAAAGGTTTGTTGGACTGAAGGTTTGTTTGACTCTGAAGGTTTGTTTAAATGAAGGTTTGTTTGACTCTGAAGGTTTGTTTGACTCTGAAGGTTTGTTTGACTCTGAAGGTTTGTTTGACTAAAGGTTTGTTTGACTGAAGGTTTGTTTGACTGAAGGTTTGTTTGACTCTGAAGGTTTGTTTGACTGAAGGTTTGTTTGACTCTGACAGCCTGTATGTGGTGTAAGGTTTGTTTGACTGAAGGTTTGTTTGACTGAAGGTTTGTTTGACTCTGACAGCCTGTATGTGGTGTAAGGTTCGTTTGTTTGACTCTGAAGGTTTGTTTGACTGACGGTTTGTTTGACTTGAAGGTTTGTTTGACTGAAGGTTTGTTTGACTCTGAAGGTTTGTTTGACTCTGAAGGTTTGTTTGACTGAAGGTTTGTTTGACTCTAAAGGTTTGTTGGACTGAAGGTTTGTTTGACTCTAAAGGTTTGTTGGACTGAAGGTTTGTTTGACTCTAAAGGTTTGTTGGACTGAAGGTTTGTTTGACTCTAAAGGTTTGTTTGACTGAAGGTTTGTTTGACTCTGAAGGTTTGTTTGACTGAAGGTTTGTTTGACTCTGACAGCCTGTATGTGGTGTAAGGTTTGTTTGACTGAAGGTTTGTTTGACTCTGAAGGTTTGTTTGACTGAAGGTTGGTTTGACTGAAGGTTGGTTTGACTAAAGGTTTGTTGGACTGAAGGTTTGTTGGACTGAAGGTTTGTTGGACTGAAGGTTTGTTTGACTCTGAAGGTTTGTTTGACTAAAGGTTGGTTTGACTAAAGGATTGTTTGACTGAAGGTTTGTTTGACTCTGAAGGTTTGTTTGACTGAAGGTTGGTTTGACTCATGGGCGTCAGTTTGGTTTGAAATGTGGTGGGGACAGAGACGCATTCGGAAGGGCATTTTCAAAAGTGCTGGGTACAATGACGCATTCATTATTTTTTCTCTTTCGCGCAGGTCATGGTTTGAAAGACGATGTCCTGTAGCTTACTGATTGAAATAAATAAAAATGTATGATGTCCGACCAAAAATGTGATGGTACTTTGGGTTTAATTGGTCGTAAAATGAGATCTAATATAATGTTGTCAGAATCGAGAATTTTTACGTGAATAAATAAATAGATCCGCCTGCGTTGCATATGTATTGTGATAGTCCAGTGGCAGAATTTTTGCCAAGCGTGTCGGGGGTTGAGGGTTCTAGTCCGCACTCGGTATAGTTTTTTCCCCTCTTCAAAACCGATAATGTTTATCAGTGGTTGTATATCAAGAATCTTGATATACTTTATCACTGATAAACATTATCGGTTTTGATGAGGGAAAAAAAAACTATACGAGTGCGGATTAGAACCCAGAGAAGCAGGGACACGTTTGTGTGCATTTTGAATTGTGATTTCTCTGGAACGAATAGAATCTCTGCAACGGATTGAAGCGCGCGTCCGAGTGAAGACAACACATTTCAGCGCTAGATCGCGTCTTATTTAACAAATGAATGAAACGAATGCTGCTAGTTAACTGGAGATGTTTTATTTGTATTGTTACATCCGTGACGCGAGATGTTTCAAAAGTGGTGGGGACAATATCGACCCTGGCAAAAAGTGGTGGGGACATGTCCCACCCGTCCCCCCCGTAAATGACGCCTATGGTTTGACTCTAAAGGTTTGTTTGACTGAAGGTTGGTTTTACTGAAGGTTTGTTTGACTAAAGGTTTGTTGGACTGAAGGTTTGTTTGACTCTGAAGGTTTGTTTAAATGAAGGTTTGTTTGACTCTGAAGGTTTGTTTGACTCTGAAGGTTTGTTTGACTCTGAAGGTTTGTTTGACTAAAGGTTTGTTTGACTGAAGGTTTGTTTGACTGAAGGTTTGTTTGACTCTGAAGGTTTGTTTGACTGAAGGTTTGTTTGACTCTGACAGCCTGTATGTGGTGTAAGGCTTGTTTGACTGAAGGTTTGTTTGACTGAAGGTTTGTTTGACTCTGACAGCCTGTATGTGGTGTAAGGTTCGTTTGTTTGACTCTGACAGCTGTTGTGTTGCAGGCGGATGAGCGGCACAGGAGGAATGTTCAGGGTTCTCCTCAGGCTGTGGTGATGCCGAAGCAGCCACCCGCTGTGCCGAAGCAGCCACCCGCTGTGCCGAAGCAGCCACCCGCTGTACCGCCGCGATCAGAAGCCTTTTCCAACGGCAGTGTGTCCGAACCGAGCCATCGGCCCGCTGACCCACAGGTAACTGGACCTTTTTTCTCATTAAGATGTGATGTGGACTCTAGTGATTTTATCTGGAAAAAGTAACATTTAAATGGCCATTCAAGTCAAGTCAAGTCATCTTCATTTATATAGCGCTTTTAACAATGGATTGTTTCAAAGCAGCTTTACAGAGATAAACATATAATTTAAGGTAACAGAGATTGTTTTGGCTTTATAGCGGTTCTTGAATAATGTTATTTCCAGCTAAAGTTAGTTTTGATTGATTCACCTCCGTCGAAATGATCAGACTTTAAACGCGAATCTGTGATTAACGCTGACGGCGTTCACATGCACATTCATAATTGATTCTATAGTTATGTGCTTTTGAACATATGTGCGCAGGTTTGTAATTCCATACAACCCATGCCTAAACAAACTACTTGTTTTGCCTATAAATTTTGATACAGAATTTTGTTTTATTTTATCACTTCGGGGTACGCGAACCGAAATTCACAACGCTTTATCTGTAGAGTGGGAAAGGGATCCTCCATAGGGAGAGGATAGTTGACACTTCAGCACTGCATTGTCATCGGGTCCAGGCAAAGCTCCCTCGTCAGATCTGGACACGGCCTGGATCCGGCAGGCTGCGGGAAAACCTCGGGATAAACAAAGACACTAATATTAGCGTAGATGCCAGCGAGTAGCGAGTACATCAAGATTTAAGCGAAGTGTTCCCAGTTCCGGCTGACCTAATCTATGCAGCCTAACATTGAATTATAGAAGTCTATAGTGTGTTATGTGTATGCTAGGTCAAAGAGATGTGTTTTTAGTCTAGCTTTGAACTGACAGATTCAATTAATCTTTTTTTTTTTTCAGTTTATGATTAAGACTTACGGTTATATTACGGGTTCTGTTACACTGAAGTTCAGTTTCAGCATTTGTGACTTAAGGCCCGATATACTTCAAGTGAAATCGAAAGAACGATCTGGTGTGACATCAGGCCAAAACTAATTTGTTTGAAGTTTGTTTTGTAAGTTCGAAACAGCTTGCCAAAAGGAACTTTCAGGAAAAGTTTGCTCTGGCTAGTAAACTGCTATTGGTCAGTGGTGATGATGTAACAGGTGTGTGTGGCCCCGGGGATCCGCCTTCTTTGAGGTGTAAATCTTCTCCGGTTCATCTCACTGAGAGACGCTTTATAGCAGAAACTGAAGCTGTAATTCTCACTGAAAGACACAGTCACTGTTTTTCATGTTTAATACTGTAAGGCTGTAAAGCGATCTGTTGTATAAAGTGCTGTATAAAAAGGCCTGTGAGAGCCATTTCAATGTTTATGTGCAGGTTTGGCCATTAGGTGGTGCTATGGTCATGGCATAGCTATTGGGGCTCATCTACTTAGGAGGATAAGTGTAATCAGACACAGGTGTTGCCAGAGGGGAAAAGGCCAACTAGTTTTTGAACACCACGGAGGCTGTGACTGTATGTTTAATATTGTGACAGTGTCGATGAAGATGGAATATTGTTCCGTTATGGATAATGAAGACCTTGTGTAACAATAAATCATATCTCTCATGACAGGGAAGAAAACAGAACTTGAACTCCTGTTACATAATTTCTAATTCGAACTAAGCGACCACGGTAACTGTACGTTCACACCACCGCGACTTGAGCGTCAAAGAAGCTCTGGCCGCCCTGTCAAGGACGCTTGTCAAAAAGTACGGGGAAGCTTGTTGACGCTTTGGACGCTTTGAGTTGCAGGGAGAATAGAAGTGTCACAACATGAAATGTAATAAACAGATAAAAAACAAGCAATACATTGAAGAAACCTTTTATGATGACAGCATTTTATTAAAAAAAAGGAAAAAAAGAATAGTTAGCTATTATTATTATTATTTGCGTCAAATCGGTGTCACTGTAGCCACATCGAGATGTGCCTTAATTAGCTCAAATTATGCATAGGGAATTTTAATAATTAATCATGAATATGATTAATATATTGCATATTATAGTTAAATTATCGAAATTGAAAATAGATCGATTGTATATATGAATGATCAATCATAACGAATTATAATTCCTCCTTCATATATCAATGGTCTCATTACAGATCGATTATATGAGACAACTTTAAGGGAATTACTTTAGTTTATCAAACAATCGGTTTGTCCAGCAAACAGCCGTAAGATTAACTAACCAACCTCTCAACAAGGTTGTCCCTTTTTATAAACTCCAAGAAATCTCAATGTTCCGGCCGTGAACATTACTTTTCTCGTGTTTATAAAATTTACGTTACTGATATAGTAACAACTTGTAAAGCTTTGTAGCGAGATATTCATTTCATTGACTTGTAAATGAGCACTTCAGGATCAATCAAGAATATGGTTTTAATAATTGAAACTACGGATACAGAATTCTACATTTGAACACAGGATACATGTATGTACAGTTAAACAGTAAAACTAACGAGGCAGACGAGTAACAAACAGGAGAAAGAGAGAGAGAGGTTGCGAGGGAGAAAGACTGTGAGGGAGAGAGAGAGAGGTTGCGAGGGAGAAAGACTGTGAGGGAGAGAGAGTGAAAGAAGATGAGAGATCTTCTGGTTTGGCAAAATTCATCACAGACACAGAACCTTTTTAGACACCAAGAATCAACAGATCTTAAATAAGCATAGTAAAACGGATACTTGCACAGGTACAGCTCTTTGGTGGGGCTGATCTGGAAAAGGCGTGTGTGTGTATCTCTGTCATGTGGATGCCGAGCGTTCGGGTTCGTCCAGCGAGCGCGGCGTGTTTGAATGTCCTTGTAGGTGAAGCTTGCCAGTCTCGGGACTCGGGACAGTCCCTGGTCTTCGGCCGGACTCGTGATCTCATCTCGAGTCACATGTCCAGAGCTAGCTCAACTCGTAAGCAAAGCATTCCGTTGTTCATTCATTAGAGAAAGATGCTGCATGTGCGAGTCAGAGTCAATGAATTAATCAATTCAAAACACTATCCCCTTTGTTTCAGAATGGAAGTTAAGGGGAACTTAACTACATTAGAATCTAGTTACTTCACTCCAACATACTAGAGCTGGCTCAACTACCGATCTGATTATCACTACAGTCACCGTGAGCAAATGAATTGCATTCCTGCTTTAAAACGAGCGTTCGTAAATATTTCAAATAAAATTGCGCTCATGCGGTCCCTATAAGCAAACAACGTCATGTCATAAATGATAGGAAACCTGTAGGAAACCCAGCAACGGCGATTTATTAGCTTCTCTTCCATTTTCTTGGAACTAATGTTTTGGTAGGAACGAAAGTTTACATTGTATGTTTCTCCGGAATCAGCCAGAGTGAAGGACGTCTATATTCCGATTGGTTGCTGGCGTTTTGCCGCTGAACCGCGTCATAGCTCATTACCATAAAGTTGGGCTTCTTTCAACTTTCTGATTGACGCTCAAAACGCCCAAAACGCGACGCCGATGGATTTGACGCTCCTTGCAGCTGAGAAAAGCCAGCTTCCATTGAAAATGAATGACTTCCGGCCGCTTTGGAAGCTCAAGTCGGCGGCGGTGTGAACGTACAGTAAGCGCGTCAACTAGCCTACTTTAACCCTCTGCGTAACCCTCAGCTGTTTTAAGCTTAGGCTTAGCGGTTACAAGGCCTAAGCCTGATGTGACTGGGGCGCTTAATTAAAGAGGTGGTGCAAAAATATCCACATTACAACAATCAGATGTTTTCTGAACCGCTGTTTTTCTTTTATTCTTTTTGTTGTGTTTATGTTGTTATTGAGAGGAAAGCGCACTGCACATTTTTACATTTTCATCAAAACCTCGCTCTCAACATCGTGAACGGTGTCAGGATGTTCGCTAACAGTATGTCACTGCAGAGGAATTCTTCTTTTTACCCCTAAATACAGAACAAAAAGAACTTCGCTGTGAGTATATCAGGGCCTTTAAAATATATGTTGAAATACTCACCGTTTCAATAGTATGACCACAAGACATAAATCATGTTAATACTCAGAATGTTTTAGAGTTATAAATGACTTGTCTATTCTGTGAAGTTTGTATCTATGCGGAAATATCTGCACTTCTATAATGTCTGAAAGCTGTGAGAAAGGGAACCACTAATCCAAGACGAGGCGTTTGATTATGTTCTGGCGTTTGCTGAAAGATGATGATGAAGCCCTGATACCCATGTTTCCACTGGCGGCCCAGAGCGTGCTGGTGCTTCCCGTGGCCGTGGTGTTTCCATCGGGCCGAGGGCCAAGCGTTAGTAATGCCCTGATCCAGACCGGATGATCACCAACAGCTGGAGTTCATCTCAGGCAGGAGAGGCTCTGACCGTTTCCCAGCAAACATCAACGCTTAAGACACTTATAACCATTTAAAGCTTGAAATTCACTTTCAAACACCAGCAAGTTAAAATAAAACTGAGGCTGTGTGTGTGTGTGTGTGTGTGTGTGCGCGCGCGTGCGTGCGTGTGTGTGAAACACAGCTCGAGGCTTTTTGACTGTCAGTGCTGAATAACTGTGTGTGTGTGTGTGTGTGTGTGTGTGTGTGTGTGTGTGTGTGTGTGAGAAACACAGCTCGAGGCTTTTTGACTGTCAGTGCTGAATAACTGTGTGTGTGTGTGTGTGTGTGTGTGTGTGTGAAACACAGCTCGAGGCTTTTTGACCGTCAGTGCTGAATAACTGTGTGTGTGTGTGTGTGTGTGTGTGTGTGTGTGTGTGTGTGTGTGTGTGTGTGTGTGTGTGTGTGTGTGTGTGTGAAACACAGCTCGAGGCTTTTTGACCGTCAGTGCTGAATAACTGTGTGTGTGTGTGTGTGTGTGTGTGTGTGTGTGTGTGTGTGAAACACAGCTCGAGGCTTTTTGACTGTCAGTGCTGAATAACTGTGTGTGTGTGTGTGTGTGTGTGTGTGTGTGTGTGTGTGTGTGTGTGTGTGTGTGTATGAAACACAGCTCGAGGCTTGTTTATCGTCAGTGCTGAATAAATGCCAGAAATCAATCCACTTCAAAGTAATCACAAGAACAAAATAATCTACGTGTTTTAACAGAG